AGGGTATATAAAGTTTGTCGTTGCGTTTGCAACACCTCGAAATATACATTTTAGACCCCACAAAGTATATATATTCTTGATCAGCATAAATTTCTATGTCGATTTAACGATGTCCGTCTAACTGTGGAAATTACTCTAGCTTCCGAACGAATTGAAGTAGGTTGATAACATTTTACTCAAATGTGTGTTTTGTTTGCAGGACCAGAAACAAAAGCATTATTAACTGTGTACAGTCCAATTAAGAAGAACAAAATGAGAAATATTTTTTTTCCAATTTTCAATTTTTCCATTCGAAAAACCATTCTGGAACCATTCCACACAAAATTCCATATCAAAAACAACTTTCGGACTTCGCAACTTTTCTGTACGTTTTTCTCAAAAATTTCTTTCATAAAAACCTTCTCGCTGCAATTACAGAGGACCGAAAGAAAATTTAAGTCAAATCGGCTCAGCCATTCTAAATTGGTGAGTTGTTATACATTTTTTTGGCGTCATTCTTATACGTAGAAATATTCGCATAAAACTGGAATGAGGACGATACGAAAGTGAATGCGTCCGATTTAATTTAAAAAAATTATCACTTCCCAATGTTCTTATAGTTATTAGATAAAGTCTCAAAATATAATACATAGGTCCATTTTTTCTGGTACCTCCCGCACAAAAGTTCTTACATTTCGAAAAAATGTATACACATATTCCATATGAAGTTGAGGAAGTAGTCGATATAGTCAAAAAATCATACCAGACTTGGGTCAGATGCGAAATGGACAATACTGGTCCACTTCTTCGGTACCTTCCCCCTAAAAGATCAACAATTTGAATAATCATAACATAACTCAAAAAATATATTTAAATTAAGGGATATAGGCTGAGTATATACATCTACCGGCAGAACGGGCTAGTACTATTTAATTTGTTTTTCAAACTGTTATCTACGGCACAATCGGTGCTCAATGCATTTCTCATAAAATCACAGACATAAGTTTAGACATTTGTGGTACATTTAAATTTTTCTAGAAAAAAAAAACTGGAAAATTCAGTAGATTATTTCACACTTTAGCATCCAAAGTTCTGGCCGTCAATTTTCTAGCAGAAAGTAGCAAAAATAATAATTATTTTGTAGATACATATACGTCTAAGAAGGAAGTTAACTTGCTTTTTCTTCATACTGATATTTCAGTTAGCCTTGATCTTCCATTTTTTGGTGGCAAGGTCTTATACAAGTCCTGTCAGTACATCGAAAAATTACCATTGTACATCGAAAACTTGTCATTGCAATTTAAACAAGTAAAAAAGCGGCTAAGTTCGGCCAGACCGAACGTTTAATACCCTCCACCGTTTGGAAAGAACTTGAAAGACGTTGACCTGCTTACGCTAAAATCATAAAAATATCTGATATCGGGATGCACCGTTATATGGGGGATATGCGAAAACGTGAACCTACATACGAATTTTTTTGCCATAAACTGTAGTACGAACGATTCCGGTGAATAATGTTGCTGAAATCATCAAAATACCGTTCGTTCGAAAAATAGCGTGATTACAACAGACGGACAGACAGACAGACGTACATCGCTAGATCGTCTTAGAATTTTACGCTTATCCAGAATATATATATGTTTTGAAGGGGCTATTATAAATATTTCGAGGAGTTACAAACGGAATGACAAACTTAATATACCCTCCATGGAATGGTGGAGGGTATAATAAAAATTGTAAATCACAAATGGATGCATACGGACAATACGGAGGAAATACGCTGGTCCTATCGGATGACATTTTAAATAGTACTTGGTCAGCGATAAAATTCGTAAAAGGCGATAGAACTGTATAGAAAGTATAGGAACAGATGAGACTCCAATCAGGTAAAAGACAAAAAACCTCTTATTACTAAATAGCATTATTACGGATCCACTGGGACTACATGCTCATTTGTACAAGATGACACAGCATATATTTACTGGACATGTGGGGATGATGATCGTGAAACGTCGGAGCATTATCTCTGTCAATGTCCTGCGTTTGGAAACATCAGATGCCAATTCTTAGGGAACGACTCCATGCCAGACTATAATCAATTCATGGTAAATAAAACAGTTAAGAAATTTGTTTGAGGCAACTGAATTTCTTATATAATAAACTGTAATAATAAACTAGCGTACAACAGGCCTATACTGACTTAAGTGTATATCCACTAGGACATGTGGCGATTTTTCGCCCCTCTTTTCAACCTGACCTAACCTAGAGCAGATACTACTCTTGCTGAGTACTCTTTTAGGTTTTGTAAAAACGACGTTTTTGTCGCAAATCTCGACCAACTAAGCACATCGCTCATTAATTCGACGAGTGTTACATTTCAAATTAAGTTTCGGGAAAACGCATTTGAGTTGTCGCTTGAAATCTGACTTTCGAAATAAAAGATATTACTAGCCTAAGACTAATATAACTTCAAAGACAATTAATTGCAGAAAGGTCGCCAGATATCAGTGCTATTATTCTGTGTGAGATCAACATTTTTTAATGCGTCTTAAACTCCATAAACTTGCTTTGTTGGTTTGTGACAAACTCCAAGTATAAAAAGACTAAAAAACTTTGAAATTTGAGAAAAAAAATATATAGTACAATCCGTAGAAAAAATTGAAACTTGAAAAACGATTTTTTAGAGGATGTACGCAAAATCAAGCAGACATGAATATTTTGCTTCTTCTGTTTTCCTTCCTTGGTTTTTGTACACCATTTTGACTGGAATTCTTTTTTATTCAAAAATGAGCACTTGAGTCCGCCCCCAAATAAGACGAAAGAGTGGAGAATAAGTCTCTGGTAAAATTCGTACTCTGCGGGGAAAATCCGCTCCAGTTTTTTTTTTACACGGGAGGGAAATCTAGCAAATCTGAATACTGGTAGATTTAAAAATATTAAATAATAAAATAGCACAAAATTCACAAGTTAGTTTAACTTTGTGATTAGACCGCAGATGATCAACGATATATGCCATTAAAAATCGCTCGTCATAGCGAAATCCCACAAATAAAAGTATTAACAACAATATATATGGATTTTTTTATTTGGGATTTTTACACAATTTAATGTTTTATACGGTAACCGTCCAGAACTGTATGCCGGTAATCATCGTCCATCTGTAATGGTCTCTACTACTAGTTAAATCAATTAAATTAAATTCTCATTCAATTTTATTTATAGTATTCATACTCTTAGTAAGTTCCGAAATAGGTTTAAATAGCTTGAGCGAATTCATCACGTATATTTAGAAAAGGAGTAGACTGCACCTTAGACTTTTTGTAACTGTAAATATGAGAAAAAAACACTACCGCTTCGCTTAGATGTAGAACCTATTCTAGGTTTTATTAAAAAAAAAAAAAAACGAAGGACTGTTTGTCCTTACCTACTGAGTGCATCGATATCTCTGTGTGTGTGGTCATAACATATATTATATTATACAATATTGTATGCGGCAGCGCAAAAGATCACTGGATACCGTGTTTTATGTTTTTTATTATTAAATTGTCGGGATCGGTTCAGATTTGGTAATAGCTCCCCCCTTCGTCCGATTTGCCTTTTATAGTATACCAAACGTGTAATATTAGCCCAAATGGCATAAAATTTAACACTTACAACCAAATTGAGTCTAGAAACGAGTATGTCCAATATTCATCCGATTAGTTATATGTGTTCTCCACAGTCGTAATATGCACTCCGTAACAACGACATTCGGGGAAATTTATCAAATACAGCTCAGAAATACATTTGCTAAATGTTATCGGGATCGGTTCGGATTTGGATATAGCTCCCATATATAACTTGGTCCGATTTCAAGTTAATTGTGCACCAAATGCATGGTAATGCAAACCGGAATTGAAAAGGCGCAAATGCCTCGGCTAATTTATTAGAAGACGATTCAGAGGAGGATATTCCTCTCATATATTAGTTCTTTGGACTTTAAATTATAACTATAATCATAGTTGGTATGATTTAATTTTCCCAAATTCTCCATAAAAACTTTTATTTGTTATGTGAAGTTCTACAAAAAATTCAAAGTGGTGTAGCGTATCATAAAGTCGGCCTCGCCTGACTTAAGACTTTCTTTACTAGTTTTAAGAAGTAAAGCAAGAACTGTGAACTTCACAAGTTCGTGTGATGCCAACCAATTAATTCTTGTGTTAGGTCTCAAATTTGATATCACATTGATTGCTTACGTCTAGAGAATTCCCACATCGGCGTAACTTTGTATTGCTCTCTACTACAAAGAGAGAGAGAGAGAGAAACTGACAGCTTTGCAATATTTTCTGATCGCTACAAACATCATGATTTCGTCCCGCGAAGGGAATATCACATGGCACTTTTAGCCTTTTAGTTTGCGTCTTTCGGGAAAAGCAATCTAAGCTTCTAGTATCCTTCTTGGCTTTCCCAAAATTTGTCATAACAAATATTCTCAGGTGTCCTAATATACATCAGTTTTTTTAAGGAAGCATGGTTTTTTTAAAATTCTGTACATCTAGACAATAAATCCTAGGCATTCTAATATCCTATTTGATGTCCTCCCCCACGTACCTTTTACCTTGTACAATTGTGTAGATCTTAGGCTGTATTAGTTTAGAGACTAAAAATTTATCTACTTGATGTGGTTAAATGTTGGGAAAAAATGAAAATCTGCTTTTAGGCTGGACTGAAATTAATTAATCGTTGGCTGCAAGTTTGGATTGTGATTGTGGATATATGTATGCGCGGTACAAGCATTGTACATATCAACATACTACTTACGTACGCAAGCGGGTTCTTATTGCATTATGAGCACAGGACTTGGTGTCAAATATCCCATAATTCTTCAGTTTTATTTCAATTTGCACACTTTTTCCCACATCATGTTCTCGTACACTTGAGCGTTCCGTGGTGAAGACAAGCGAATGCGTTTTTTGTCAACTTTTGAAAACGTTTTTGTATCGCGCCATAAAAATCAAGTTCAATGTGCGATTATCTTTCAGGCACTATTACATACGATACTGTCAATGAAAAACAGCCAACCAAAGTCGATGATGCCGATAAGTACAACGGTGGTGCAGAGGACGAAGATGATGATGATGACGATGATGATGAAGAAGATGATCGCAATGGATCTGTGATCGGTATAGATTCAAAGTTAGTTGCATTTTCGCAAAGCAATCAATTGGAGAGTGTCCGCCTCGAGGCCACTGTTCTGGTCGATCGTGTGCTTGAAGAGAGCATTCACATTGTAAACGAACAGCACGATGCCAGTCGTGATGCTGTTCTTGGCGGACACGATAACGGGACCGACAATGTGAATAACGCTTTAGGTGTAACATCCGTTACCGCAGGCGAGGGCACCAATCGACAGGAATACAATTCCGAGAGTGAAAACTATGCCATCACATGTGACGTTGTCGGTGGTGTGGACGTTGTAAAATCGCCAACTATTGAGTCGATGTCGGGCAAATCATTCGATGACAATTTAAGTTCTTCCGACGACCAACAACAACCGCAACACTCGATGGGGCCACCAGAGGCACCATTTCAAAGTGGTGACGATAAGCGTGGTGCCAAAATAACAGTGCAGACTCCCCAGGCTAAAGGTAAATGTTTTATTTATCACGCACCGAACTCATTCATTGTGAACAATTGGTTCAATGCTGAGATAATATAACTTCCGAAGGATTTGGCAATTGTGTAGGTGTTTGAAAGATAGGGCTCTCAATAAACACTTGTTTTATTTATCCACAGATCCAACTTCTTTGGATTTTCTCGAACAAACGCCACACATTCATCGAGATTTTCAATTTACCGACCAGAAGTCCATAGTTTTGGTCATCTCCGTTTTCAGGCATACACATTGGCGACAGTCTATAGTAAAGTTATTGAAATTAATGTAGCGAAATATTAGATCTGAATATTTCCGAACATCGATTGATTTTGTGGACGAAATAGTTTTTACACTGAAACTAGTACCCTTGTATCTGTCAATACAGAGCCTTTTATCGCTGTTTAAAATTTTTTAAAACTATTTTAGTTTTGAATAAATTTACCTTTATACGCACAGAGCAATATTAGAATTGAGTTCACAACATCTTTCCGATCAAAAGTTACGAGATTTGGATAAATAGATTTTGAATCGCGTTTGCAATATTTTTATAAAAATTAGGAAAACGAAGCTTATTTTCTCCAAGGAGTTAACTGAGTTGGTAATATTAACTCAGTAACGTATCAGGACTAAATAGAAAAAAAGAAGTCAGTAAAGAAAGGTCAAAAGGTCGGTCGAGGCCGACTTTATGATACCCTACACTGCTATACGTAGTCGGTAGAGTTACCCATAAGAAATAAACGTTTATATAGGAAATTTATATGAAGCAGATCATACCAACTATCATCGTTTTTGAATGCGTATTATGGCTTTAGAGCACTTATAATTAGAAATCGCATGAGATTAGAGTAGTCTCCAATAAATTTATGTCTGAACAGATTTTACCAAAATCTATTCTAATTGAGCTGATGTTACTTTTTTGGTGCACAGTAAATGTTAAATCGGATAAAAATATATATGAGAGCTATATACAAATCTTAACCGAACTCTATAGAGTTTAGGTATTTCTATGCTATGTCCGGGTGTGAGGAACTTAAATACAAAATCGGGTGAAACTCATATATGAGACCCATAGCCATATCTAAACTGATTTTCAATCAAATTTCATCCAGGCTGAATTCGGTTGTATGTACCAAAATCGTACAGAGATATATATGAAAGCTTTATCCAAATCCGAACCAATTCCGATAAAATTTGGAAAATAAGTATTTCTGAGCTGTATATTGTTGTAATGGCGAACATATTACGGCTGTGGGGGTAGAAATAAAAAATTGGATGAAAAATATATATGGTAGCTAAAGCTATATCTACACCAATTTGCACCAAATTTGTCATACTCAGTTCTACGCTCAATTGGGTCATATGTGTCAAATTCCTTCCAATTTATATTAGACGAAGATATATGTGGGGGCTACAGCTACATTTTGTCTGATTACCTTCAATATCAATAGGGTTCGGCCATGGATCAAACAAATAACCCGTATTCACAAAAATACATGGACAGACGGACGGACGGACGGACGGACATCCATAAATTGATTTAGAAAGTAATTCTATGAGGATCCTCAAAAGCAACTATGGGTCTATTTCGTTTCCTTGTGCGTGTTAAAAACAAATGCAGAAAGACATAATACTCTGTACCACAGTGTGGCGTGGGGTATAAGAAGATTATTTCGAATTGCATTTTAAAGGAAATGTCATTACAATTAAAAGTTTTGGTAGAAACTATAAGTTTTGAACGGGTCTCAATACCTTATTTTAAATTCATCCATACCATGAAGGGTATATACATTTTGTGACTCCTCCAATACCTCGTCTGTCTGCTTTTGTAATCACGATATCTATAGATATTTGAAATATGCATCTTTAATCACAGCTTAGATCAAGTTCATGGCGGATTATATTAGTTTACCTCCAGTTGTAGCCACTACAGAACGGTATCCCCGGATTGGATATATTTTCAAGAGTGGTACAGAAGGTCTTGACAACATTTTTCAAGAGAATTGTCATAGTATGGCCTTACCGAACACACTTAAATCTTTTTGACTTTGTATTAGCATAAAACTTTTCTTTGTCCACGTGAAGAACTAAAATAATCATACCTATTAATCTAATTTGCCTCTTTTATAACACTTTTTAATTCAAAATTGTATCCGGATTAACAAACGTAATCAGAATTGTTTCCATAATCCCGATTTATTTAACCTGATTACAAATATAGATCTTCTTTATAATCTGGTGTAGAATCTACATACAAATGATAGCCAACCCTGTTTAATACTAAAAGTTGCAAGCCTGTTGGCGAAGGCGCTCTTTACACTTTGTCTCAAAAAAGCCTATAATTATATTAGTTCATGCAAATGTATTGGAAAATACATTATCTTCCTTGCAGACACACCAAATTTTAACTTACTTATTTTTCAACATTTTTCTGGATTCTCTTCTGGTTGTGTATGTATATATATATATGTATGAATGGCGGAATAGTAAGTAAGTTTTGATAACTTGGCGAAATGGTTAGCTGCGGCAAATGGAGTACCTATTTATTGGGATAGATCCACGTTTACAGACAAATCTTCATGCCGATTAACACTAATAACTGTGAATGGTGAATTATCACGATTAACCCTGATGAAGTTTTTGTGTGTAAACGCGTTATAATTAAACTTAAACGTCAATAGTATAAACGAGCTGTAAACGGTTATGTACATCAGTACATTTTCGAACACTTTACTACGAATTTCTGACAATGTCTTAGTTCGAATTAATTAAGTCCCGATTCAGTCCGAATTCGGAGCGAAGATGCAAAATATTGACCAACTGTTTCTCATAGCTCCCCCCTAAAGGTAACATTTTTGACTGTTTTCTGAAACTTCAGTGTCTTTGCCTATTTTAAAATTTAGCACATTCCCCACATTTTCCATTCTATGGAGAGTATAATAACCTTGTCAATCCGTTTCTAATTCCTCGAAGTAGACATGTAAGACCCTATATTCTGGATCAGCGTAAAATTCTAATCTGGGATGTCTATTTGTTCGTCTGTCAGTTATTATCACGCTATCTTTCGAACGAATTGAGATAGAAGGTTAAAAAATTTGTACACATGTGTATTTTTCCTGTAGACAAGTTCGTAAATGAGACATGTCAGCCTCCTCCCCCCCCCCCCCCAAGACAACGGTACCACCCAATTTGTATTTCGTAACCGGTACCACAGCCTATGACAACAAAATGTTGTTTGCAGGTCCGCGTTACTCCCGCTATTCGCTATTTTGATGATTTAAGCGACATTATTAATCGGAATTGTTTAGAATTTCGTACTTGAAGTTCGGAATCGATACTACAGGGTGAGACAAAAAATCTGCAACAAAGTCAAATGCCGTAATTTTGATTTTTTTTTTTAAATTTTAGAATAAGTTTAGATTTTTTTCTGATTGGTCACCTTTGGCACGAATTATGGCCTTCAAAGTGCCAATGAAACCGTCACACGCTGCTCGAATTTTGCAACCTTGCTTTCCAAAACATTCCAGACACAATAGTCCAACGGATTGGTATCCGGAGATTTTGGTGGTTGGAATGTTCGAGGTCTGCGGCCAAAATGTTTGAGTGCCCAAGGCTTTAATACACCCTCCAGAATATTTTCGCGATAATATTCGGCATTTATTCGGATGCTACGGTCGATTAATACGAGCGGAGAGCGACCATCGGCCAACAAAAGGCGCACCTTTTCAGCTGACCTCTTTGGCAAGTAAAAAAGCGCATGCGCTTCACCGGGAATGGGCCATTTTGTTTGTTTACAAACTGCTGGACAGTGAATGTTTTCTCATCGGAGAAAACCAATTTCGGCAGTTCACCACTTTCGGCCAATCGAAGCAACTCTTTAGCTCTTTTGAGTCTATTTTCTTTCTGTTGCGGTGTAAGTTCTTGCTTTTTTATGAATCTCAATGGCTTTACCCCGAGCTCATTTTTCAATATTTGCCGTATGGAATATTGCTATATGTTCAGCTCACGAACCATTTTTCGGCCACTGCGACACGGGCTTCGATCAAGTCGCTTCTGTATTTTCTACTTTTTTCACATTTAAATGCTGGAGTGCTCTAACAATAGCCACTTGTGGTTTTCAAGCCAAATATAAAGACATCACACTATCACGCTTGAATTCTATCACGAATAAGTTTTTTTCTGGAAAATTCTCACAAAAATGCTTTTGTACGGTTGTAAACAATATAATTAGCTATCCTGTAATAATTTTAATAGTTTTCTTTACCTCACCCTGTATAATACAAACAGTTTTTGTTTGGGGCCAATGATAATATAAGGTTTGATTTAGTTTAAATGTTAGAAATTCGGGAAAAGAAAATATGACATTTTTGGCAACTCGCCATAGGGCCATGAGTTGTTGCCAGATTGTAATTTTTTGTTTTTAGCTTTCGAAAGTGTTATGAGCATAATTTCAATATGTTTTTGTTCAAATGACTAACTTCAAAAAATAATTTTTTGCCTCCAAACGTGCCATCGACGCCATAGTGTACTGCAGTATTTGTACAAATATCCAATCTTTATGGCGCGTCAAATGTTGAGAGGATACATTAGTTTACCAACTTAACAAGGGGAGGGCGCGGACCTGGAGTCGTCCGATAATGTCAATTTTTAGATTAAAAATGCACAATGCCAATGATCCTGAAGAGTTAATATTATAAAAGAATGAAATCGATTGTTCATAATGAATGCTAATGCAAACGCAAAGGAAAGCTAACACTTTTCCTTGAAATTTTCACAATCTTTAACAATTAAGAAAACATTGTGATTCGGACAAAATGAAAAGGATAACTTTATATGGATAGTATAAGTAGTATAGCCGTCGTTTATCCCCGCATCGAGGCCACAAATGAAATCCAATTCAATTCGAATTACAAATATCAAAATTATTGTCGTTTGACTTTTGTTAATTTTTTTTCATAACTTTTTTTAAACCAATCACTTCGTAGAGAGAAGTAGCATCATTAGAACAGTAGAAGAATCAAAGAGAGATGATGATGGTGAGCAACGCACAGCGACCAGAACACGTCGAATTGAATACAAATTTGAAAAAATCTCGTCGAAGGTTGAGGACGTAGATGTAGAAGCGGACAAATTTGATGATCAGTTTGGATCTGTTGTGGCAGATGACGAAATAAGCAATTTGCAAGGCGAATTTTCTAAATTGAGTTGGGACGATAGTTTATCGCCCACAACCAATACATTGGCTGATATTGGTCAAAATACACCCGACAATGATATTCTAGACATTGTAGCAGGTATTACATATTCCATCGATCCATATGCTTTACATACTTACTTTGTGTACAAAACCTATTTTCACATTTTCACACTGAACACATTCCAAAAAGAAGGCCAAACTCAGTTGTATTGAATTAAAATCGTCCCCTTTTGCGAAAACGTATGTGGCGCCATAGATTGCCCAGCTGAAAATTGCCCAAATAACCCATCAAAAGGTAATGCTAACAGACTACCTTCTGCATTACCAATGGGCTGAAACTAAAGGGTTACTTCTTAAGAAAATACCAACAAAAGAACATACTTTTTCAATGAAGAACGGCGGCACAAAGTCACTTTTGAGTTCGAGAATCAGCGTCGACAAACGAAGAAATGAAAAAAGAACAAAATGCAATGCTTTGTAGGTGTAAGATTTTTAAAAAGTCCCTGCAGAAAAGTGAATTATAAGAAAATATTTGTATCTACTTCTTTCTCAACTTTTTGTGGCCAAAGACTAACTGCATATTTTTTATGAAATGATAACGGGTTATATATTTTTGCGTTGATGTTGTAGTTATAAGTCATTTGACGCCGACACTAACATAAATCGAATCTAAAGGTGAGGGTACATAAGTAGCTTGGCGTCATGGCTAAGCATATTAATGCCAAATTATAAAGGGAAACGACGGTAGTATTTGAGTGCGGTTCTGGCCTCTCTTTATGATATGTCACAATATATGCCATGCGAAGACTTAAAGCTGTTTATGTACTCTCACCTTAACCGATTGATCGATCACTCATAAACATTCATTGTCTTGGTCCACCTGTTTGTCAAAGTCATTCTGTGGTATGGGAGCTACATATGATGCTGACGCAGAATTTGTGTATCTATCCAGAATCAAAAAGTACACGTTAGGTAATCATCGTTGGAATTGCTTTTTGTTAATATTTGTTGTTGCTTTAGAATATTAGGCGAATAGTAGCCCCCATATTGTATGATGTAGTCGTCTTCATAAAATCCCTCGTTAATACTATTCATTTGCCGAATATTTACGCACCTCGTCGTGCTGTTAGTTGTTGTGGTCCATTTTACAGAAAAATATAGTCCAATAGACATCCAAAATTCTAGAACTCTTCTCTGTCCTTAACTATATATGATTTGTTTGTCTACGATAATTGGCTATATTCGTCAACGAAATCAGCATAAAAAGCCAGGAATTTGCCTTTTGTGTATTTTGGATATTGCCTGTAATTTATTTTCAGCGTTTCGGTTGAAGGGAAATGTAGGTATTTTTCACACAAAAGTAGTGGTCCATTCCACCCGCTGTCCTAAACTCTAACTTTATGCGAGAGTTCATGGCCTTTGGTTTGTATTTGTGACCTTTATAACGGCTGCAAAATCCGAAACATTTTTAGTAATTGGTCCATTTCAAAATATTGCGAACATCTTTGAAAACCCTACTCTTATGAAAATTTTCGTGAGCATCGGACGATAATTGCAATCTGTATATAATAAATAATCCAACTTGTGTTGTAAGGTGAAGAAATATTACAAAATGTATACTTCAATATTCTAAAGGTAAGGTCACATTGGGCAAATATTTGACGAAAAATGTCAAATATTTCTATGTCACAATCTGACCATCAAATATTATTTGACGGTAAATACAAAAACAGCTGATTTTGGGAAAACAAAATTATTTGCCGGAAAACAAAAATTTGACCAATGTGTCCATAATGTGAACATATATGATCAATTATTTTCCTATTTTTTGGTCAAACATTTATTTGACGGTGCAAATGTTTTGTAAGGTCAAACAAGGAAAAATATCAGTTAAAACATTGGGCAGCATTTTGCTTTAACAACAGGAGCATTTGTAGCATGATGTTTAATGAATAGAAAAACAAACGAATGCAATAAGTGGCTTTGTTTATTTGATATTTTTGAACTAACTGAATTTGAATGTTTAGTAAAACATGTGTATATTTGGTCTGTTTCAGAACTGCCAGAATGTAAGTGTTTTTACTACGATAACCGATTTTCCCTTTATTATATCGAAGAAAATTGCGAAACTAGTAGATTCTTGCAGGTTCTGGAACAGGATATAGGTAGATGCATCAACGCTTGAAACAATGATATGTCAATAATTTTGAAATGTTTTGACAAAAATAAGTAGATTTTTCAATGTTTTCCTATACGGCGAAAAATCGGAGGTTGCAATGATATTTCATTCGTTATTTTCAATTCCAAAATTGTTTTGACAGTTTATTGTCGATGTAACTACCTGTATTCTTCTACCATGATACAAAAAAATGCAAATAAAATGCAAAATAAAATTGTTCTGGCAAGGAATTTATTCCACAACAGCTGTTCTTTTGCTTCCCTTCTCCAAATAAATTATACCCGATACTACATTTTCTTTATATCTGTCTTTCACTCTCTCTGTCTATTTCTCTCGGCCAAATAAACTTATGTTTCCTCAAAGTTTGATCAAACAATTTAATGGGAAAATATATTTTACGAATGTGAACATGTGTCCAACATGTTTTCCCATAGCACTGTTTGACGCTGTTTGGTGACTGCTTGAACAAACAAAATCTGTCAAATATTTGACTGTAATGTGAACATCGAATCAACTCTGTATGAATTTCACATTTGTTCAGTCAAATATGGGAAAACAAATTTCGATCAAATATTTGCCCAGTGTGACCGCACCTTAAGTCAAATTGAAAAAATCGCATGCGATAAAAAATATGAAAAAATAAAAAAAAAAAACAAAAAAATCATACAAAATCTATATTAACATCATTATTGGCATCTTTTTTATGCGGTTTTTTTATATTTTATACTTTTATGCTAAGAGGGCATTCTGAATTGACAAAATTTGTCAAAATCGGTCCAGCCATTCTTGAGATATAAGCGTTCTAGCTAACATCCCCTTCCTTTGTATATAGACATTGTATGTATTTCGCTATATATTCGGATATTTTTACTATTGGCATCAACGTAACGGTCAGAATTGATCTTTTTGTCTATTTGTGATTTCGCCGGGATTAAAAATATTCGCTGTTTAATGGAAAATTTGACTTTTATTTAACACAAATGTTATATATTTAGTGGTTGAATATTGCCCGATGACCATTAAAATTGGAAGGCTTCTACCCAGCCCTAAGCTCTAGCCCCATGCTAACTTCCGTGTCGATTGGTCTATAATTGCGGCCTGTAGAGCAACTGCAACATCAGGAAAATTATCAGTTTTTGGTCCATTTCAAGTGCTAAATATTATTCGATCATCTCCAACAGCAATAGGCTTCTATTCTGGCTCTAGCCTTGATTTCTTGATATGAAATTTCACTGCAAGATAATGGGAACATATCGCTTGCCTAAAAATAGAAGAATGCGTTGTTGTACTTTACAAAAATGACAACGATGATGATGCGGAAAGCTTTTTCGCGGCAAAGGAACAGCAATACCTCCTTGGGGAATGTGTACTAAAATTTTATATACGCAGTTTGTTTTCAATTTGAAGGAGATGATGCTGTTTTCGACGATTTTGTAGCGATTGCTCAAACTTTTGAGAGATCTGGACCTACAGTTAACAACTATACCTCCTGGGGAATGATATGAAAGTATTAAAATTAGATGTTCTGTGAACAATTCTTCTGCATTTTAAATTTAATAATCCACATTCCAAAAATGTAAAATTTTGAATTTAGAATAATTTATTAAAAATTAATTAATAAAATGGAGTCATATTAATTGATTCCAATCGTAACACTTTTCAAGTGAACTAACTACAATTAACTTGCACAAGCTCCAAAATCATGATCAGTTATTTAGTTCGGACAAAAGCTTTTAGCTCTTTTTTGGTATGCTACCTATTTTTGTTTAGGCCAAACCGACAAGGAAGCATCAAATTCAGCCCACGAAAAAGCTATATCTGTGATTTCTTCTGCTGCTATTTTTGTTTTTGTCGAATGAGCCGCCGAAAATATATTTTTATGGTTGCGTGTTGTCGACGTTCAAATTAATAAGACACGTACATATGTTTTCGAACTTGTCAGCTAATCGAAGCATATTTTTGAAATGTAACTTCCAAATATTTTCATCAGAAAATGTTGACAGGAAATCGACGGGAACTAAAAGCACAAATCGACAGGAACTAAAATAGACTTTAATTAAGAGGCTTCAACAATATTTGCGCATTGTCTATATTTAAAACCAATAAGGAAAAGCAAAAGTCGAGCGGGGCCGACTATATGCTACCCTACCACTATGCATATTTAGCAGAGCTCCCGTAACAAAAGAATTTATTTGAAATATATCATACCACCTATCAACACTTGGCTTTAAAGCAGTTATAGTTTGCTATAACTGACCATTTGGGCTGTACTATTATTATTTGTACAATAAACCTGAAATCGGATTAAGGGTATACATATATGGGTGCTATATCCAAATCTTAGCCGTTCTCGATAAAATTTGGCAAAGGTCCTCTCGAGCTTTATAAGATATCTGGCACCAAATTGGATGAAACTATAGCTATATCTGAACAAATTTTCTCCGAATTCAATGTAACTGCTTCTAGACTTTTGGACTGATGTTGGCCATTTGGTGCACAACTAACCCGGAATCGGTTGAAGATATATATAAGTTCTATATCCAAATCTGAACCGATCTTGATCAAATTGTATAAAGATATATGAGAGCTGTATCTAAATCTGCTCCGATTATCACCAATTTCAATAGGGTTTGTACTTGGATCAAAAAAATATTGTTTGCGCCATTTTGATATTAGGACTAATTTTAATAATGAAATGAAATGGAATAATAATGAATTGAAATTACTTTTCCATTACGTGTTACACATTATATCAAATTTTGTTAAACGAAAACTGTTAATGAAACTATTAACCAATCGCTAAATAAATAAATAATAACTTGTTGGTTGTTCAAAAAACTAAGAGAAATTGGACTAGTACACTAGAAAATATTGTTGATTGGCAGTGAGCGGCATCGACGTGAGACTAAGTAATTTTATTTAAAAAGTCAATTTGTGTATAATTTCGCCATTAGTCCACTGTTTTATCTTTAATATTATTATTATCTTAAATATTCATCATTACAGAAGTAATACCAGCCCGGTTCGAGGTCAGTTGTGAAATTTGGATAGAAGTCATAATCCAAAAGTATTTTATTGGTATATTAAGTATGTTGTTTCAAACCCATTGGTCAATAAATCTATAGGACAAGAAACCCTCCCTTATGAAATATGTTTTCGAAGTCAATTGGGCTGATTAGGATCTGAGCCCCTGAAATTTTTGTGGCGTTCTCAGATAGAAAAATTATTTTATTGCCTATGAAAATTAATTGCATATGTAGTTAGTCTTTGGTATAACAAGTCTTTTATTTTTGAAATAAACCAGTGCATAGAAATGTATTTATTCGGTATTGTTGAAAACCAAAGGTGTCCTGAACAAGCCATTCCAAATGATATAATTTCACACCCAACCAAATATGCATAAACCCAAATAAATGAATCGCTGAAAAAATAAATCTTACTCAATTCCTTCTCGACCACCACATACATTCAAACATATAACGCTCGCAAGTCTCTAATGCATAAACATACACATACATACATAACCTATGATTGCATTCAATGTGGCTTCTTTCCTCTTTTTTTTTTTTGTTCGGTTTGTTCGTAATTCAATTATGCATATTGGGATGTTGTTGTTGTTTCTTTTTTGTTTCTATTGCATCCGTTTCTTCATCACATTCACAGCTTATTTTGTTTTGCTATCAAATGTTTCTTTTGGTATCGCTTTAAACCGCTCGCATTCTTCTTCTTCTTCTTCTGCTACTTGTTCGTTCTTTTTTCGTTATCTGTTTCCCTTTCCAATTTAATTTCACTTCTACATCACTACTACACTTTTTACGATGCTTTTCTTTTGTTCTCACAATCATTATTTTTTATAGAAACAGGTGGTGAGGTTTCACAATCGACCGATATCACCCCCGTCCCACCACCACCTGCTCCTGCTGCTGCTGCTGATGCCACAGCTACAGCTACAGTCACAACAGAAATCCCAATGACTGCCACAATAACATCGGCTGCCACCGTTGCCACTGAAACGGTTGGCGAAGTACCCAAACCCAAACCTCGCTTGGCGAAAGCTTCATCGCCGGAAAAAGACGAAGCTCAACCAATAGCAGCACTTGAGGACGCCATCGAATTAGAGACCAGCCAAGATTCCAGAACATCACCAGCACCAGTTCCAAAGCCACGCTCTCAAATAAAAACCTCCGATTCGTATAAAAACCTAACAGCTTTGGACGATTCGTCAAGTCAAACGAAAACACCTCAGCTTGTTCAGCAGACAGATAGCGTGAGTGTGCGTAGCTTCGACCTTACCGAGGAGACGTCGCATATGGATGATACGTCAGCGTCGCAGAACTTGGAAAACGTGGTTACAACCTCAGCTACCACAAACACCACTTCGGACGATCCGGCCACAGAATCGAATGAATTGACCAGTGATTTGTCCATCGACACCAGCGTCGTTGGTGGGGATCGCAAGACCAGCTTTTATATCGGAGAGTCCAGTCAAAATATTATCATTAAGACGACACCCACCAAGCTCAGTGCTGTCGACGATGATGATGACCAGGGTGACCCTATGGGCATTATGGGCAACCAACCAATTGCGGCAACAGACATTTCCTTAATGAAAGAGATATCGGTCGATTCCGAAGAGGACAATGATGTTTTTAAAGAATATGTCACAATTAAAACCACTGAACCAGCGGCAAGGATACGGCGTCAAAGCTCAGAGACTAGGAACGATTTGCTGGAAGAAGATGTTCTTCCCAAGGAAGAAACAGAAGGTGCCAGCTCTTTCGTCGCTGGAGCAACATCCGAATCATTCGAAGCTGATTCGAAAAAGGAGAAGACAGCAACGGTCGATTCGACGCCCAAGACCAAGGAAGACGATACCGTTTGCGAAATGTCCATCGATTCGGAGGAAGTCAGCATAGAAAGACCTACAGAACTGGACTTGTCATTAGAAAAAAGTGAGTGGGAAATGACAGAAAAAGAAATTCCCCCACAAGGAAAAAGCAAAGTTGAGCATTCACCCCAACAGCCGACGCAAACGGTGCTAACCAAGGAATCCATTACTGAGGAGCTAGTGGCCAAAACCCTTGATGAAGTCCAAGAATCGTTGGAGGCAGCCAAAAATGAACTAAAATCGGTTCTAAAAGATGGCAAATCCATCAAAGAATCACCCTCTGAGTTCGAGTTCCGTTCCTTTTCTCAAACGATATCCGAACGATTCGGAGATGTGGCAGAACAGGGTCTAAAAACTGGAAAAATTATAGAGGAAAATATAGAAATGGTGGAGACTGAGGATATTTCGTCGTTCATAGGCGTACCGGAGACTTTACAGATTCAGCGCGAGGAACATCAGCATCAAATCGAGGGCCTCTTCGAAAGCAGCGTACCCGAGACACTGGACCGAGCTGCTGCCATGATGCATTATGCACAATCCCATATTGCCGAGGGTAAATCCGATGCTGACAAGGAGGATCGAGCTTCGCTTGGTTTCATTTCGACGGGAACGGATGATTACGTTGAGGAAACAGTTGCAAAACAGGAACACGCATCCCTAGGTTTCGTTTCCAATGAGACTGTGGAGGAATTTAGCTCCATGGAAGACTATTATCAAGAGAAACTCGCCAAGGCCGATGTAGTGGAGAGTCGAGAGGAGACAACGCAGCATGCTGTCACTTCTTTCGAAGAAATATCGTCCGAACGTACAATGAAACCCTTTGACGATGTCGTGCATCGTGTCAAACCGGACGGCGTCGATACATCGCAGAATCGATGGTCTGTGCCCGAGGTCGAACAGTCGAGCTCCAGTGAGAGTTACTACAAGAGCTTCGAAAAGAGCGAGAGTCGACCATTGTCATCTGACGTGGACAATTTGGCCACCCAATGTACGTCCGAATACAAAACGGCGGCTGAAGGTTCGTCAACATACCGCGAAACCACAGAGTACATGAGTGCAGCCAGCACCCTGGACAGTTTGTCTGGCAAGACCATTAGTTCCCACGAAAGTATGCGGAGCTTCGACTCACACTCGGAGACCTCAGCCAATCTGATCAGCATGGACAGTTCGGAGTTGACTGAGACACTGGTCGCTTCATCCACAGATGAAGCAGACGAAATCGAACATTTGCGGGATCTGCTGGATGAGGAGGACAGTGAGGAGAGCTTAGATTTAGAAGCAGCCGGTTATGCATTGCCGGAGAATGCCATGCAACAGCAACCGATGATGAAAAGATCTCAAGAAATGATATTTAAACCAAAAACCGAGGATGCGGCCGCAATAATGTCGGATGATCCGCAACCGAAGGAGATGCAACCTGAGACCGCGCCAATTCCTGTGGGACAGTCCAAACCAAAGGAAGTGGAGAAAACGTGGGGTTTGTCCTATCCTCTGGAAGAGAGCAAACCTGAGGACAACAGAGACACTGAAGATATTCTCTTGTACCATGGTGATGTCAGGAAATCGGTTGATGAGTCGAAATACGCATCAAGTTTGGATGAGGGAAGCATTCTCTCCGTCAGTATGTCAAGCACATCGAACATTGACACTGTCGTTGAAAACTTCGAAGACACTGTTGGATCTTTCGGTGCATCGTCGCTGGCGGGTATTGAGGGATTTGGAGGCTCTTCGCTTCCCGACGAAACAACGTTTGTTATGGAGATGGAGGGTAGCACAGATTACTCCCCCGAGGAATGCAGTGCCACTACTCCACCGGATGCTAACCAATCCAAGCGTGGCCATAAACGTTCCGAAAGTGAGGTAGAATCGGCCGAGGAGACCCAAGCGATACCAGACAAGGAGACACCGGCCGGCAGCATAGGCGAAGGCAAAGAATCGGGCAGTGAGTCCGACACTGATCCCTACGAGACAGAATATGCCCGCCAGTTCCGCTCACCGACTGACCGTAAAAACAATAAGAAAAAGAAGCAAGCAGCGGCCGAAATGGATCATAGCTTTGAAACCGAGAAGCGGCCATTCACCCCCTCTCAGCTGGTCGCAGAGGTTATTGTAGAAGACGTTGCCACCGAGGAGCTTGAAGCGGAGGCATCCATGATTGAAGACCGCCGGCCTTCACAAAACATGCTGGACTATTCCAATATTCCTGATATCACAGTCACTGAGGACACTCAACAGAAGTCCCCGATCTTAGAAGAAGAAGAAAATGCGGACAAATTCGAAGAAAAAATTCTCTACAAAGTTAAAACCCAGGAGGAACTTCACAAGGTGACCGACGACCGGCCGATTTACCAAGAGCAGCCACTTACCGATCTCAAGGAGGAAAACTTCCAAAAGCTTGTGCAGGAGCAGTACAAACAAAAGCTGGCCGAGCTGCAGAAGGCCGACATTGGCGATTCAGATTACGACGAAAACAAAGCCCCCGATTCGCCAGACTCCTTTGAAATGGTAGACCAGCCAGACATCTCGGATGATTTTGTCATCATCGAGGAAGTGGCCAAGGAGGCGAATGAAGATGACTTGGGTGGCAAGAGCATACGCATTAAGCCCACCAAGTACGAACCCAAGCATGATGAAGAGGTTGAAAAGATTATAATCAAATCGGCTCCAGCCGATCCCATGTTAGGGTCGCAGATATTCCGAGATGATTTGAATTTCGAATTCGAGGAAAGTCCGCCCACTGCCAGTAGCGGCGGCACTGGCAGTGAAGTTCAGGAAGAAAGCGACTCAGGCTCAGATATGGCGGCCACTAATAAGCGATGGGTTGAAATGCAATTGACCGATAACCAGCTGCGCTATCCATACGAATTGACTGGTGGTGTCCTGGAGGACATCAAAGAAGAGGATGGTGAGTTCGAAGTGGGCAGCAGTCGCATCAGCAGCTTCAAAGACTCCTTCTCAAGTACGCCGGAATATGACGTACTCGCTGCTCGCCGTTACTACGGCCGTGGCGAACACGACGATGTGTCCATGAGCAGTTTGCAAGAATTTGAATCGCTGGAGCAGGCAATATCCCTTGAGAATCGCAACCGAACACATCAAGGATCGACCGATTCCAGCAATGGCAGTTTCCAACGGCGTTACCTCATACGTCACAGTGCGAGTGGAACAGCACCAGGTGACGACATATCCATTTCCAGTCTCAAGGAATTCGAAGGCTTGGAGAACGCTTGTATCGAGGCCCATTTAATTGAGATCAAGGCAAAGGAGGAAGCAGCTATGCTCTCGCGTTCCGATGAGTCGAACAAGTCGAATAGCAGTGATCGGGATCAAGGTGCAGACTCTAGCAATGTTGTTGTATCCAAAGTGACACGAACCGTGACGCACACAGAAGTGTTGACGGGCCAAAATTCTCCGGATATTGAAGCTCTGCTCAAACAGAAACTTCAGGAATGCGAGCAGGGTCAAAGCGGCATTCGCTTGACACAGCAGCAGATCTTGGACCTTAAATTCAAGGGGGACTCCGATAGGGGAAGCATTGAAAGTCTGGAAATGAACAAAAGCATAGAAATGGGATCCAGCAGTGCCGACGACAGCTACGACATGTCTAAGGATGCCACAAGATCCGACATAGATTCCCTGGAAGTGGACAAGCCGCAGCTGACACGCGAAGAAAGTATTGAATCCGCCGACATGCAACAAATCGATGACTTGATGTCAAAGTTCGGTGCCACGATAGGAGAAGGCTTGACCACTACAACTACCACAACGACGACCAGTACGGACGCGGAAGGTCATGAACATACCACAGTAACGAGACGAGTGGTGACTACGACGACGACACTGGCCGGAAGCGGTCCCAGTTCAACGTCACTCGACCAACAGCTGGCCCAGACTCTGGTCAAGGATATTTCCGCCGACTCATTGAATCAGATGAGCACAGTGGAGCAAACCACCACCACCAGTTCGGCCGGTACCACAGCCACGTACCAGACCAGTGCCGGCAATTCACAAATGTCGGGCAGCATCACAAGCTGTGCATCCAGTATCCTCATGGAGGATTCTACAAATAGCATTGCCACCTTCAACATAACCTCGACCGCGACAACTACACAATTCTCAACAACCGACCCCAACCAACCGGCTCACCCCGTGAGTGGCACAGACGATGCCGCGCTCAAAAAGGACGAAGTCAGGCGCTAAGAATGGTCAACAGCTTTCGATAATTATTTGACTGCGCAAATAATTTGATTTCGTTTTTTGTACTTTGATAAACTCGACTAGGTAAGATGGTCTCCTTTGATTGCAAATTTATTACCGTTACAATCTATGTATGATGCTTGAATCCCGCCCTCGCAATGTCCATTCATGTCATTCCCCCCACCCCCGCTCTTTCCATCTATTGCAAAGCATTCATTTTTACCATTTGCGATCACCTGCAAAAGTTCCAAACTGAAAAAAGTTTAAAAAAATCTTTTAAATCCCATTTAAATTTGAACAAACCCCGGCCACAGCACCGCAGTGTAAAATTAATTGTGATTAGAAGATTAAATGTCAATTTGTGTTGAAATACTAGACTGCACTGGTTATCGTGAATCTTATAATTTTAGAAAGTACGAAATTTGTTTTTCAATTTAATTATTTTTTTTTTTTTTGTGTAAAGCATTGAAATAAATTAAAAAGTGATTTAAAACTTTTTATCGTTTTTAGCAGTACATTCACAGTTAATGTCTTTTGACATCAATCCTGCAGTAGTTTCCTCGTAATTAAATCAGCTTAAATCGTCCGAACGGGGTGAAACTTAATAAAACGGGGTCGAATTAAAAAAAAAAAAAAAACGTTTAGGTGAAGAACGTTTTCTACAAAAAAAAGAAGTCGAATACGACTAACACTTTTGAAATACCTATGGTACCCCCTCAAATTTCAAAAATGTTGGTCGTATCCGACTTCCATTATATGTGGGGTATGCCACAAGTCCAATCGATTTTAAAAACCTTTCGCAATTCTTTTTTAATACATTATCGTAAGACTAATTTTGAGAAAAATCGTTTAAATAATCTGTGTCGTTACACTACTTCAATTGGATACTAAAAATATTGGCGAGTGTTGGAAGAAAGCAATTTCTGAATAAATTAGTACAGACGAAGTCGATTTGGGAACAATAATGAACTATTTTCCATGGTTTTAATAAATTAAAAAATGATAGAAAAGAACAAAGCAGGTTACGTATCATAATTGGAAATTAAGTAAAGCGTTTAAAATTTGGTTCTTTAACAAATATTTTGTTTTTATGACCAAAGAGAGGCTTATCCGACCTAATACCATTTTGAAGGCCCATCAGAAAAATAGAATGTTTTTTTGAAGAAAATTTTTCAGAAAATGTTTGAAAATTAATAACTTTGTGGGCAGTGCAGGCCTTTGATGTTTTTGATCTGACACCAGGCAAATCCGTGCTCAGTTTATTTCATTTTGCACTGCGGAAAATTTCGTCATGATTTTAATATTTGAATCAAATTGTATGGCGAATTTCGTTTTCTAACGGAACTCCGTCAATGTTTTGCAAAACTATCGAGTAGACGGTTTTAGAGAGGGTCCATGAGATGGAAATTATGGTGTTTTATCGCTTTTTTATTTAAAGATGAAAACAGATTTAATATCCAATTTACGATATAAGTAGTTTTTAAAGAGGAAGAAGGGATGCCATTTGAACTCAGTTCTGAGATGAATAAGTGGGCAAAAATGTCAGGGTGGTAGTTTTAAGGCCCAACTTTTTTGAGCAAAACTGTTTTTATGATACACTTTGATAGAAATATTTCGATTCCAGAAATGTTGCCATTATTTCTTAGGGTACGGATTCTTCCATACCTAATGAATTATTTTAAGTGCACTTAATCCATTTTATCACCAAAAAATTGCAACTGAAATTTGAAGTTACTTTGGCTACTAATTCGGGATATTTCAAAGAAAAAGTCGGTTCTGGAACAGAGTAAATAAATTAGAAATCTGAGTTTTAAGTCGCGTGGATTGAGATTTGCACTTCCAAACTAATTGTAGGCTTGCAAAGGTCCTCGTTTTGTTATTGCGACCATAAAAGTTGATATTTTGATTCTTCTTAGGGAAGAGGAGTTCCTTTGTTCCTGGCTTGGTGTCAGTGATGGATTTTCAGAACATGGAAGCGGTGAAATAATAATGCCTACTTCCGGATATATGATAAAATTAAACTAAGCCGAAATTTACGCTGGGCAATTAAAATTGCCTCAATTGTCAATTTTAGGCACAAGAGGTTATTGGAAAGTAAAGAAACTCAATTTTCCTCTCCTCCCTTACCCACAAAATTAAATTTTTCATACCCTCTGAAAAAATTCCAAGTATCTTTATATATTAGCTATATCGAACAATGAATAACATAACAAAGTATTGCGATAACTTGACGACTTTTTATTTTCTGTTCAGGACCATAGGAACTATCGGCAAGACAACTTAGAATCCTTTTGGGAATTTTAAATTAAAATTAAAGTTTTTTTAAGGCTAGTCAAAGAAAGGCATTGTACTCAAATTCGTAAAATTGACACCTACCCTATTGCTAATCGTATAAGTAAGCATCTGGCGTTAAAAAAAAAAAAAATATTCAATTACCAGAGAGTCTCAAAACACGCCCACTTTCCTTAAAATTTGACTTTTGTACTAATTCTCCACTTCATTTTTTTATTTCTCTTTCATTGCAGAATTCAAACATTAGGCAATTTTTACGCCGGCTACGTGTTTTAAGAGCGCAGTGGAGTAGTGCTGCTGAAATCCGATGTCACACATGTTTTCAACAAAGCTGGAAACATCCTCAAAGGGTCTGTCATCATCGGAAAGCAAAAAAGTGTTGTCGTTGTGCGACAACAAAAAATCAACTACACATCCCAAAAATCAACTACACATGCATCCAACTAAAATAACAGTATTCTCTTTGCCCATGGGTAACTCGAAGGTCTTTGGATCCGGATTGCAAAATGCTTTTGTTGTGGAAATTCTATTGGCGTCATTCGGCAGAATAAACACAAATCATCATCATCGACACAGAATCCATTTCTAGCTTTAGATATTTTATTAAAATAAAAACAAAAATCTTCTAAAGGTCCACTCTGTCCAATAGAACAGTCATCATCGACTAAAGATAACCGAATTACATGCATACATACACTACATACCGCAGACAAACACAAATATCGGATATGTATATTTAGTGTTACTTTTTTTAACATTACTTATTGTTTTCTTTTTTACCGACGAACAAAAACAACAAGAACAACCAAGGTTAATGTTTTAAAAATCCGCTTAAATGTGATTAGATTTATTCACAAAAATATTTGTACTGCAGAACATAATGCCGTTTAGGCCTCACACACACATACATACCAACACGCTTTCCATTGCATTGTGTCCTCTTTGGGCGCATCGACTTTGGCGATCGCAAACAGGATAAGAAAGGAACCATAAACATTGCGTGTTCGTGGACATGTTTGACTTGAAACCTCTTCTCACAGGCACATTCTAATTAATAAATTAAGCAAACAATTGCAAAAAAAAGAAACTAAACTCTTCTATTATTTATTAATATTATTGATATTCTAATAATGAAATAAATTGAAAAAAAAAAACAAACAAAAAACATAATAATAACAATGACAAAAAAAAAAAAAACATTCCATTTTTATTAGATGTACTATTTAATTATATTTGAGATTATATAAGAGATTACAACTCATACACTAACATTATATAAAACCAAACAACAAATTAAATGTAATGCTAGCCACGCATCTATAATTAACCAAATAAATGCTTAAAAGAAATATTAAAATACTTATTCACTGTGTTTTGATTTTACATGCTGTGGGATATATACAGGGTGAGACGAAAAAACTGCAACAAAGTCAAACGACATAATTTTTACCTTTTTTTTAATTTTATTGAATGAAAGCAAAAAATGTCGAAAATAGCATCAAATGTTAGAATACGTTTTGATTTGTTCGAATTGGATGTCCTTCAAACGGCAAATAAAACCGTCACACGCTGCCCGAATGTTGCTCTGCTGTATTTTGGCCCATTCCCGGCGAAGCGCTTGCTTGAGGTGATCGACACTTTCCAAAATATTCCAAACACAATAGTCCAACGGATTGGTATCCGGAGATTTTGGTGGCCATTGTGCGCTGGAAATGAAGCGAGGAACCTCATTTTGTAACCATTCTTGGGTGGCGCGTGCTGAGTGCGATGATGTTGAGTGCTGTTGGAATGTCCAAGATCTGCGGCCAAAATGTTTGGCGTGCCCAAGGCTTTAATACACCTTCCAGAATATTTTCGCGACAATATTCGGCATTTAATCTCATGCCACAGTCGATTAATACGAGCGAAGAGCGACCATCGGCTGTTATGGCGGCCAACACCATCACCATGGCCGGGGCCTGAGTTCTGGTGGCCAACCGAAGGATGGCAAATAAACACGATAATTTTGTTTGTTTCAAACTGCTGGACAACGAATGTTTTCTCATCGGAGAAAACCAAATTCGGCAGTTAACCACTTTCGGCCAAGCGAAGCAACTCATTAGCTCTTTTGATTCTATTTTCTTTCTGTTGCGGTGAAAGTTCTTGAACTTATTGGAATTGCAATGTCTTTATCCCTAGCCCAGTTTTTTCAATATTTGCCGAATGGAATATTGCGATATGTTCAGCTCACGAACCATTTTGTTGCTGTTTTCTTGCGTCCACATCCTTGACGTCGGGCTACGCTATCAGTATCACGGTAACGGGCGAGGGTACGAGACACAAAAGATTTATTCACATTTAAATTCTGGAGTGCTCTAACGATAGCCACTTGGTGGTTTTCCAGCCAAATATAAAGAAATCACACTACCACGCTTGAATTCCATCACGAATAACTTGTTTTTCTGGAAAATTCTCACCAAAATGCTTTTGTACGCTTGTAAACAATATAATGAGCTGTCACTGGAATAATTTTAACAGCTGTCGGACGAGTGGCTTAGATATGACAGCAGCCTGAAGTTTTTTGCAGTATCTTTACACGATTTCAAGTTTATTATAAGACCGAATTTAATGGATTTTGGCACATACGAACGAATTCAGCCTGGAAGAAAGTGTAAAAATTTGGTGAAAATCGGTTAAGATAAATATTTTATCCAATTTTGTATTTAAGTCCCTCACACCAGTAAAATGCTTCCCACACCAATGATATTTGATCCCAGCTATCGGATACAGCAATGAAATACATCGCATCAGATTTGGGTATAGCTTCCATATATCAAATAAGATTGATATTGACGAAAATAGCTTCAGTTTTTCAAAATTGCTAGATATCGATAAAGAGGAGGATATATTTCCATATATTAGTTTATCTCGTCTTTAAATTATATCTGCTTTGAAACCATAATACGCATTTAATATTCCCCATAAAACGTTTCTATGGGTAGGTCTACTTAATATGCAATTAGGTTTAGGGTATCATAAATTCGTCCCGCTCAATTTTTGACCTTTCTGTAATGGTTTTGCTTCGTCTTTGTGAAACATACGTATGTTGGCAATTTGTACGAATACGCAATGTATAAATATTAGCTTTTGAATCGAGTTAATATAATATATGATGCTCAATAAGAGCACGTCTAGCATATACGTCACGTAGATGGTATACAAAAATCCAGTGGATATTATGACGTATATGCTAAGGAATTGACATTTGAAATCGAGTGGATTTTGTAAATCTTTAACCCTTAATAGCCTGGTGGTCCCTTCAGGAACCTCAACTTTAGAGATTTGTTTTTCAAAACTGTTACATTTTTTTGCGCAATGTTTATTCAGCAAATATTCTCTTTATAATTTATGTTATCTAGCGGAAAAGAAAATCATATGCTTTTCGGTGCTGAACACCTGATTTTTGACGTTTATCTGAAAACACACACAAAAGCTTCAAAGTGAACAAATCGTGCTTTTTCAAATTGATTGAAATCAAAACTTTTGCTCCAAAAGAACCAAATAAAATTAATTTTTATTATTTGTGCACTATATTCAAACCATGTAAGTATCTTTTTAGTAATATAATTTTTTTTCGTTTGTGTTTTTCGTGTAAAAGTCCTTCAGTCCTTCAAAGAACCAGTAGGCACCCATTAGAGAAGTGAAATTCGTTAGTGCTTTAGCGTCTTTTTCTAATTTTGGTGTAAATTTTTAATTTTTCATAGAAAAATGCCACGTAAATACAAAGATTTTACCACGGCTGAAGAGTTTGAAGCATTCGTCAATGATTTTGAATGGTCAGTAAGTGAAATTGGCGATATATCAGATTTTGACGACGACAGTCTAGACGATCCCGATTTCAATATAGTGACAAATGATGATGCGAATATCACTGATCAGTTGGAGGATGATGTGTTCGAAAATGTGAACGAATTAGATGCTGAACAAGTTGTAACTGCAGATGAGAGTGTTTAAAATGAAGATATTGTTGTTACTGGAGATAGCACACGCTGGCATCAAAATGCAACATTTTACAAAGATATGACAATTGACAAGGACTCTTCCGAGTTTAAAAAATGTATCTGGAAGAAAAACCATATACAGAATCATGCAAGTTGGGTTCAGTTTGGCAGCGATTCTGAATTGACAACAGAAATAATGGCACTAGATAAACCTTTCAAATTTGTTTCTTACTTTGTAAATGACGATATAATTTCTAATATTGTAGACCAAAGCAATTTGTACGCAATTCAAAAGGATTCATCGAAACCTCTAAATACAACGCCAGACGAAATAAAACGCTTTTTTGGCATAACATATTTTATGTAATAAGTGTACCGTAAATTTTCAGTGCCCTGCGATAATCCACGAGTACAACAAGTACATGGGAGGTGTTGATCTTATGGATTCATGCTTTGGTAGAAGCCGCATAAGAATAAAGCCACGCAAATGGACAAATCGTCTTTCATACCATATGATAGACATGGCCATGATAAATGCATGGATTTTATATAAACGCCAATTCTCTTCATCTCCTCGTACAGATAAAATGCTGACTTTGCATGAATTTATCGTAGACGTCAGCAAAGTTTTAGTAAAATCTAGGACACAATCCATAAGGAAAGGACGTCCAAGAAACACTGGAGGATGTGAGACCCCTGAAAATGTGCCAAAACGAGTTCGGGTAGTAATGCCGCCTAGTGACGTGCGGTTTGATAATGTTGCGTACTTCCCGAAATACCTAACAACAGGCAAACCTCTTTGTAAAATGCCCAATTGCACATCTAGAACAACAGTGTATTGCATTAAATGTGAGGTAGAATATCATACAAAACATTGAATAAATGAACTGAAATATGTATAATTTAAATGAAAATAAAAAAATTTCATATAAAAAACCATATGCAATTTACTTGTCAAGGGAGTGCCTCCTGGTGGTTCTTCAAAGAACCAACAAACAAAACCTCCCCTAAAATGTCCGAAACTCAAAATTGTGAAAAGTCGTAGAACAAACGTTGTTAAGGGTCCTAAAATACAACACATAAAATTTTTTCATTGAAAAAAGTCAGGCTATTAAGGGTTAAGAAAGGATGTTCAACCTCAATGCAATTAGAAAAATTCAACTTTGTACTAGTAGGGATTATTGTGTCAAATAGACCTTTGAACATTTAACAATTGTCTTATTTATTTTACAGTTTTTCACAAAATTCTTCTCTTGTGGGAACAACCACAAAACATGAATGAAATATTGAGGTTATTCCACAAATATAGATTTCTGTTGCAATTGAATTTGAAATAATCTCAAATTGTTTTCTTTTTTGGTTAAAAAAAAATATATGTATCAAACTGTGTATATGTTTTTACGAAAAAATTGCATTTAGTAGGTATGTTTATTCTACCTTCTGTTATTGTGCCTATTGTGAATATACCTAAGAATATGTACAAATACGTTAAATCAATAAATTACAAGAGTGTTTAAATTATTGGGCCTATAAGTCATTCGACCATTTTGGCCAGGCTTGTATTTCCGCGTAGAGTGCATCTCCCGGACTCACGGTCGGCGATAGTTGCCGGTGGCCAAAGATCTTGTAATCCTCCTTCAGTTTCTGATCTGCCTTCAGTTTGTCTAACAGCAATTTTGCAGCATCCAAGGCATCTTGGCTGGGCAGTTGGTTATTGAAAACACCAATAAAAGCTATGTTGATTGAACCCGCATTCACACCCTTGGCAATAGCGCCTTGATACTTCCAACCACGACCCTCGTAGACGTTTCCATCGTTGCCGATTAAGTAATTGTAGGCGATGTCATCGAAGTGAGCTCTTGTCATATGGAAATTCTGTATGCTGCGCATTTCTTCGATGCAAATAGTCTGATGTAGAGAGATCAAATTAGTTAGCCATTTCTAACACTTTTTCCGAATATCGAAGCGAATCGTCTTGACTTACTTTGGTTTTGCACTCTTTGCCAGCCGTATGAGCAATTATTACTCGCTGCGCTGGCAATTCGAGGGTTGTCATCTGCTCAGCTGCTGGCTTTGCTTTCCATTCGGCACGAGTAACTATCTGAAGATCCCCTTCCACTCCTAGAATCAGCAGCAACAAGCCCGCCAGCAAAGCAGCCCTGTTCAAAATCTGCTTAGAGGACATTCTCTCAAACAATATACAGCAAAAGATCGAAATCAGAAGAACGCGTTACCGAACTTGTCTACGTGACGGTTACACACTCAATGAATTATTCCATTGAAAATTTATACTTTTATTGTTCCTTTCCGAACAGTGTCTGCAAAGTATATTAGGACGGTTTTTGTTTTATTTCTTTCCCTACCACGCTCTACGAAATAATAGTATATATATTGTCACTCCCCAACGATCCCACGAGAAGTAGCGTGCTACTTTCATAGGCGAAGATTGTGCAAAGATGATGTGATGTGATTAATCGCAAATATTTTTTCTTTCTCCGAGCGATATGCGGTGAATTGAGTCATGTTGTGGTGTCTGTTGATAAGACTTGAGTAAATAAAGAAGGGGATTCCTCAAAATATGTTTTTTATAGATGTTCGCATGGGTACATATTTATTTTACAAATACGGAGATGATACATAAATGTCGGATCTGAATTGGGCAATTACTGGGCCGTATTTCAAACAATAACCTGGGGTTCCCCCTTAACGAGTTATATGAAATGAGTGGGGAATTAAGGGAATAGTTGCCAATATATTACGGGGGCTTTATTACATGCTTTCGATAGTTAAATATGAGAAGATATCGGAGCGATGGAACCGCGCCGTGTCACAGGGTTCTACTTGTAGGAATGGGATGGAGCTATAATTTCTTTTGGTAATCTGGATATGTAGGTATGTACGTCCTATAAACATTTAGAAAAATTTTACTCCTCGCATTTATTTTTCGATTGAGACAAAACTAACTCTCTTTTACATCTTCGGATTTTATAGTACCCACTTGCGTTATATCTGAACATATAGCACAGATTTTGGCACATACGACAGAGTTCCCGCCCGACTTCACCTTCACCCCGCCCGACATTTGTCTTTTCCTTGATGGCTCATTATTAAAGCGTTTTTTAATCCTGCACTATACATAGTATGGAGGATATATTAAGTTTGTCATTCTGATTGTAGCTCGTAAGGCTCTAAAAGAATAACGTTTACAGGACCATCTGTACATGTTTGTTTTGTAATCACTGTACAGGTCACAATTATGGATAAGGATCTTCCAATCGCATTTGCATGTAGTAAGGATCAGAAAAAATATTTATGCGTTGAGACAGACCAAAAACCGAACATTTTCCTGATTTTGCAGCTGCTCTAAAGGCCAGAATTACAGACCAATCGACGCGTACTTTAGCGTGGGGTATAAGTTCAGGAAAGGACAGTGAAATAGGCCATAACTTTTGTGTGAAAATTGGTTTTAATTCTAAATGTCATTCCGCCGCGAAATTACAAATACATGAAAAGGACAATTCTAATCTTGAAAATGAAGCTGATTTCGATGCCGCATAAAGTCAGATATTGGATATATAGCAAATGATATACAGTAATCTAAATACCAAATATTGTTTTGAATGTCCGTTAGCATGGCAGGTGGCGCTAGTACAGAGCAATTGTAGTGGTCTCTTGGCTCCGGCCAAAACTATGATAACCCCTTCGCATGACTACGTGACATCCTTTCGAAGATGAAGTGACCCAAATAATGAAATGTTCCTCCAACGAACTTAGTTCTATGGAAAATATTAGATTCAGATCTATGAAGATTGTTCGAATGGAAAACCGCAAAAATGTCAACATTCGACCTGCAAATCGTTAGGAACGAACCATTAATTGATTTTAAAAGGCCCATTTATGTCGAATCTATCTACCTATAATCAATTTATAGTTATGATTGCATCGACTTCGTCCGACTATCTCCTTTCCTTACTGGCTCTAATAAAAGCATAGTTTCAACGTAGTCGTACGAGTTTAAAATTTTTAATATCGATCTTCGTTGTAAATGGCACCACATCAGTTTTTCATAAATTTCATGTATCGTGTTATTTCATGATACCACTAGAAAGAACCCTTTAAATTTGGTTGGTGAATAAGCCTTTATTGGCCATTTAAGCGAAAATCTAAAATACAGAGTGAGATGAAAAAGCTGCAACCAACTTCAGACTGCTGTCATTTCTAAGCCACTCGTCCGACAGCTCTTAAAATTATTTCAGTGGCAGTTCTCTATATTGTTTAGAAGCGTACAAAAGAATTTTGGTGAGAATTTTCCAGAAAAAAGTTATTCGTGATAGAATTCAAGCGTAATAGTGTGATTTCTTTATATTTGGCTGGGAAACCACAAGTGGCTATCGTTGGAGCACTCCAGCATTTAAATGTGAATAAATCTTTTGTGTCTCGTACCATCGCTCGTTACCGCAACACTGGTAGCGTAGCCCGACGTCAAGGAAGAGGTCGAAAAAAACAGCAGGTTCGAAATGTAAAGAAGCGACTTGATCGAAACCCGCGTCGCAGGGGCCGAAAATGGCTTGTGAGCTTAACATATCGCAATATTCCATTCGGCAAATATTGAAAAATGAGCTCGGGGTAAAGCCATTGCAATTCCAAAAAGTGCAAGAACTTACACCGCAGCAGAAAGAAAATAGACTCAAAAGCTAAAGAGTTGCTTCGCTTGGCCGAAAGTGGTGAACTGCCAAATTTGGTATTCTCCGATGAGAAAACATTCGTTGTCCAGCAGTTTGTAAACAAATGAAATGACCGTGTTTACTTGCCAAAGAGGTCAGCTGAAAATGTGCAACTTCTGTTGGCCACCAGAAAACAAGCGCCGGCCATGGTGATGGTGTGGGCCGCCATAACAGCCGATGTTCGCTCTCCGCTTGTACTAATCGGCCGTGGCATCAGAATAAATGCCGATTATTATCGCGAAAATATTCTGGAGAGTGTATTAAAGCCTTGGACACGCAAACAAGGAATAAGGCTGTGTTTTTCTACGCAATGCAAACATTTGTATACCCTCCATCATGAAAAGGACATTATATTTAACTTGTCATTCCGGAAATAAACCATAACTTTTGTCTTTCACCTTAGAAATTCGTCGTAGAAATCACGATACAGCCCACATAATATGACGTAAAGAGAAATTTGGCACAATAGTTTGTATTGCTATTGAAAATGAGGTATATCGGTCCATGTTTTCTAAAATTTCGTATTTGTATTTCGTAATGGATTTTAGCTCCGACGGTATACCAACCATCCTAGACCCAATACAAACTATAGTGGCAAATTTCGAAGCTCCACGTCCAATAATGTGGATTTGTATGGCGATTTCAACAGACAAACAGACGGACATTGTTAAATCCACTTACAATGTAATGCTGATAATGAATATATATTTAATATACCCTCCTTTCCAAGGTAGAGTGTATAAAAACACAATAATAGAGCAGCATGGAAAACAAGTATTACAAGTGACCAGAAATTTTGCGCAAAATTTTATTCCATTAAAATTACTAATTAATAGTCTATTGACTTAAAATCACTTGACATAGGTCTAGTTAGTTGTTATGATAACATACAAACGAATGTAAATCCACCAGCTAACTACTTTCGGACTCTGTGTTGTCCCATCTTTATACTTCTTTGTCTGGTGTGAGGAATAAAGGCAGCTTTTTAAATGATTTACAGGACAAATGATAACGAATTACAACCAATGACAGTATTCCAATGATTCGATTGGCATTAAACTTATTTTAGGTATTTAAAACTATGCTGATCAGTGATCTGACCAATGAGGCCAGTCTTTGAAACTTTCATACAATGCATCGGCAGATGTTGCAGTCGATGTTGGGTCCAATTTATTTGCTCCGACTATTCTATAATCCGACGACAGTTTGCCCAGGCGAACACCTTCGGCCAGCAATAACCTGGTTACGTTGAGCTGTTTCTCCGACGGCATTTGTTTCTTAAACGACCCGATGTACGCCAGACTTATGCTATCATCGTTGTAACCCTGGATGACGGAGCCACGATAATCCCAACCGCGACCCTCGTAAACGTTGCCATCTCCACCAATTAGGAAATTGTAAATGATATCATCCTGTTGCTGGGACTCGATGTTGAACGTCTGAGTGTAGCGCACCGTGAATGTACAGGCAGCCTAAATATTCAAAGGGTGTTGTTTCTTATGAATGAAGAAAACAGTTATGAAATGCATTCTCTCAACATACCTGTGTTTCACAATCTGCAGTTCGTGTATGGATAACAATGATTCGCTCAACAGGAAGTTTCAGTGGAATCATATCTTTAATCGGAGGCTGGGCTAACCATTGATCGCGCACCACAATTTCCAGAGCTGGCAAACATGAAACTAAGATATATTAATAAACTGTGTTTTTTGATCGGTGTTTAAAAAAATGTATACATTTTCGTAGTTCTTCTGAAGAATCGAAATCTTGTGTGATAAGAAGAAAACAAACTTGTAATTTTCACTCTAAGGATATGAATTGTATTAAATCTGTATAAAAGAAAGATGTATTGGCTACTACGCTTATAACTGAAGAAACGCAGGTCTGATTTTAACGATTCATACAAATTCGGAATTTTCTCTTGGCAGAAAAGCTTAAAATCCAAAAAAATAAAAAATTTGCTTAAAAATTTGAAAATTTTATTGACTCCAGAACGCCTTGGCTGTTTTTGACAATTCATACCATTCCGGTGGTATCTTGGTACAAAATCGCTTGAAAATATGCCAACAAAAATGTAAATGAAAACAGTCTTTTTGGCGTGAATTTTTTTTTCAATTTGACATAGTGTATTGAAGAGTAAATTTTTTATTGTTTTACATTCTGAATGAATAATATTAAAATTAAAATAAGTGCCAATGCGATGTTAAATGGCAATACAATGGACCGACAAAGCGTTATGGGGCTCATTTAAAAAAGCTGCAAAATTCATTGGCACTGCAATCAGGGAAATACCGAATGTAAAGAGTGCAAAATATTAGAGCGAATTTCACATTTAGTAAGAAAATGATTTCTATCCTTCCAGAAATTCTCCCTAAAATTTCAAGATACCTTAAATCGCTTTTGCAGGTCATTATATGGGTCATAACCCCCGCATAAGGGTACAACCCGATTTCAAGTATATTTTACATTTTAACCATATTTTTCATACCAATTTCGTCAAATGTTGGTTGTTTGAAAAGAAATCATTTTTGCAAAATATGTTTTGGTTAAGATTTAAGCTATTTTCGGGGACTTCGCCCACTTTTTTCATTTTTTTTTTTGAATCTTTTTTTAAGTGTAGAAATTTTTTTCCAATTTTCGGATAGGGTCTTGGTCTTGACCACATTCATTAATTGATTTGACTAAAAAATTGTATTTAGGCTACCCTCGGGTAGAGAACCATCTTACAGATAATTGTCCACATAATCATTTATTTAAGTATAATCCCCATATTAGTGTACCCCCAAGTGTGGTCAGAAAAAGGAAATTTTGCATTCTATTAAATTTGTAACCTCCAAGAGAATATTAATTGGGAACGTAGATTTGGGATGAAATAAACTCCGAAATGTCAAACAGGGACCCATTCAGTCGGAAATTGTGGCAGAAACATGAAAGAAATTAAATATTAGGTAGGGGCAAGGGACCGAACATTTGTTTAATAGTCATTGAATTATACTATGATGAAAAATATGGAATTTATGGGGTCTCCAACGCACAATTTAAATGACAACAAAATTAATTCCCATCTTACGGTAATGGGTGATCATTCTGAAATCATTCTGCCCTCAATTAGGAGTCGGACAAAACTAAATACCTCGCATCACAGTATTCTAAACGGAAATACAAATTTCAAATTACAGCTCATTTGAATGGAAAATGTTGCTAAGCTCTTTATAAAACCAAAAATTGAGATGAGTTTCCACATGGGGCTATTATAGATGTTCTATATCATATAGGTTTTTAACACTCAAATTAAAGCCTACGGCTGAAAAATAAGATCAGGCTATTCAAAATATCTAAATCCGACGGTAGGTGAACATCTATTATAATTTTTTCCACGAATATTTATTTCTATTTAGAAATTACTATGGTGTCATTACTCATAATAAAAATTGTGCTGCTTACATAACTCAGATCTGTGATTTATTATGCTTTAAAAATATGCATTAAAGACTAACAGTACGGGCCGACAACGCGGACCAGACCAGGTAGTTTCTAATAAATTAAAAAAAAATTTTTTTTCTAAAATATTTTTTAAAATGTTAATCCATATTTAAAGAAATACATTTTAAAATTCTGGCGACTACAGGTGTTTATCCCAAAATGCATGGCAGTCGTGCGAACACTGGCTAAAATGACCACATTTGACAACATTTTATTTTTGTGTATTTTGGCTAAATTGTATCACCGTGGAGAAACGAATACAACGACTCAGTTTAACGCAAAGTTCTCTAAACATTTACCCTTTCGGAGGGATCCGGGCCCACCTTGGCTACGTCGGTGGATTCATCCAGCACAATTAATTACTTAATTTCTCACCCAAAAATCGCACAATCAGTATTTGCCAAGTTTCAGAAAGGAGGGTAGGAGCATCCACCTTGAAAAGGAGGGTATATTAACTTTGTCACTTCGTTTGTAACATGCCTAAATATTTGGATTTAACGACTGTATTTCCGTTGAAATCACGATACAGCCCACAATATAAATGTTGAACTTCAAAATTTGGCATAACGATTTGGATTGTGTCTAGGTTGGTTGGTATTAAATTTGGTACGGCCCAATATAACGCTACCTTCTGATATTCGGTGATGATTTTCGTCAATTTTTTTACGGATTTTTCTAAAAATTGGTATTTGTATTTAATAATAAATTCTAGTTTCAATGGCAGAATATTAAATATTTAGTTCCAAATTTTTCTATAGAGCACATACAGCGGTAACCATTGATATTCGGTATTTCTTTAATCCTAGTATAAAATTGTCTATAGAGGTTCCCGTTCTGGTATGGCCCCCATATAACGGCCTCAACCACATGGTTTTTTGAAAAACTTAACAGTATTATCCAAACGGTCTTACTGGTATCTGTAATTTAAAGTGGAACACATTTGAGTTCAGATACTTTTATATAAAAACTAGCTGGCCCGGTCCGCGTTGCCGGCCCGAAGTTTTAGGTTTTAATGCAAATTGTGTATAGCATAATATTTCACAAATCTGGCTCATAAAGGTGAACAAATTTTAATATAAATATTGATCCGACTAAATAGAAATAAATACCTATCAAAGTTAATTACGCTTTTTCACCCATAGCACCTGAAATTGCGCATTAGAGTCCCCAAAAAGTCTATGTTCTTATTCATAGTAAAAAAAAAAGACAATTAAACAATGGCCGTGTTGCTGTCCGCCAATCGGTAAAAATCACTATAGATCGGTGGCCCTGGGGACTGTACCAAAATATTTACATATGTTCGCATTTTTCTGTAAGATGGTTCTCTACTCACAAAGTAGCCTAAATACAGCAAAATCGATTGGAAAATGTGATCAAGACCCTCGAAATAGGAAAGCCAAGATGCCAAATAAAGGCCAAATCAGTTGAAAAACGTGGCCAAGAACACGGTCATAGCTGAAATCAGGTATACATTCATATGAAGGTTATACCAAAACGTAGCCCAACCAATATTCTCTTGGGGGTTGCAAATGCAAATACAAATACAAAACTTTCTTTTCTGACCACACATTAGATGTGAAAGTGGACTTGGGGACACTCCAATGTGCGGACTTTACTTAAATAAATTCCGATGTGGCAATTATCTGTGTGATGGTTCCCTACAATTGGTCAAGGCCAAAATGGGCCCTTCTCTGAAAATTTCAAATTTTATGCGAAGAGGTTCTCTACCCCCTTAGAAACAAAGATGCAAAGGTCCAAAATATGAAAAAAGTGGACAAGACCCCAAAATAGCTTAAATCATACGATGGTTATATAAATATGAAATCGGGTTGTACCCTTATCCGTGAGTTATGATCGATATCATGACCTGCAAAAGCGATTTAAGGTATCTCGAATGTTTGGGAAGAATTTCTGGAAGGAAATAAATCCTTTTCTTACTAAAAGTCCCATTCGCTCTACTATTTTGCACCCTTTAAATTTGGTATTTTACTGATTGTACTCCCAAAGAATTTTGCATTTTGAGCTCTCATTGGACGGATTATTGTCACATGAAATGACACGCTTTGAAATGAGCCCCATTAGGCCTTTTCGGTAATTTTTTGAGATTTTTTGCAATGAGATCTCTTTTTCGTGATTTTTTAGCGATTTTGAAAAAGCAAAACCCAATTATCTTTTAACTTTGGTGTGACTGCGTTAAATTATTTTGATATCATCTATTCCGTTTCTCCACCACATATTCGGTACTACACTTCCATGTAACACGCCATCAATTTCAGTTCCCAAAAAATCAAGTCAATTAATAAATTGGTATTAATATTCGAATTCAAAAATAAAATATAAAAAAACACTACAAATGTACATTAGAAAAAAAGTAAGCCAAAATGGAAAAAAAATCCTGCAAACTAAAACATTACTATTGTACATTTCAAAAGTCAACATGAAAATGTTAATATATTACATTTTTCCTTTTCGGACAGGAGAAAATTTCGAATTCGTATGAATCGCTAAAATCAGTCCAGCGGTTCTTAAGTTATAAGCGTAGTAACTAACACAACTTCTATATATATATATAAATCAATTGTTGTTCGTTGGCAGTGGAATCAGTTGCAAACGGCTGGACCGACTTGCATAATTTTTTGTACAAACGTTCATCATAAACCGAGTTAGGTTTTTAAAGAAAAAAATATTGACCGCGCCTACTTTTACGCCCACTATCTTGATTTATCTAAAATCTTTATATTTGCCAGATAATGAAGACATCGGTTTGAAAAATATTACACGAGATACTGTTGACTTTCCCTCCAACCCTAGGGATTAATCTATCTATATATATCAAATAAAGTTGTGTTAATTGCTACGCTTATAACTCAAGAACCGCTGATCTGATTTTAACGATTTACACAACATCTCTTGGAAGAAAAAGATAAAATCCAAAAAACATTGCGTAAAAATCTGAAATTTGAAGATTTTCAATTTGACTTTTGAGGTGTACAATAGTAATGTTTTATTTTGCATGATTTTTTCCATTTTGACTTACTATTTTGGAATGTACATTTGTAGTTTTTTTTTTTTTTGCATTTAATTCTAATATGATGTGTAGTCTTTTTGGGTAGTATAAAGCGACGACAATTATGGAGTGGCGGACCTAAATAGATTATGTCAAATTAATTTAACGTGGTCAAACCAAAGTTAAAAGATAATTACTTTTTTTCAAAATTGCTAAAAAATCAAAAAAAGAGCCTATTGTATTGCAAAAACATTAAAATCGGGAAAAAAATAGAGAAGATTTTTTGAATGGAATCAAATTTCAAAATAATAGTAAGGACCAAACTTCATAAGGGCCTTTAAACATTAAACAAGTTGAAGATTTGTTTTCAATTTGTTTATTAGTTACTATGCTTATAACTCAAGAACGTTTTTTTCGGATATTCACAATTCATACAACTTCGGAATGGAATCTTGGGGAAAAAAAATTGCGTAAAATATGCCAATAAAAATATAAAAGAAAAAATCCTTTTGGTGTGAATTTTTTTCAATTTAAAAACTATATAGAAGTGTACATTTTTTATTGTTTTGAATTCTGAATGAATAATATCAAAAATTAAATAGTACGCAATACGATGTTAAATAGCGATCTTTCATGTCTGAAATTGGAATTTAGCTTTCAACTCCAGGATCTACATCGAGCTCGAAGAGCAAAACGTTATGGGGCTCATTTCAAAACGGGGACCTACCTACTTCTTTCACATGACAAAAATCCGGCCAATTAAAACCCAATATGCAAAATTCATTGGGACTGAGATCAGTGAAATACCGAATACAAAGGGCGCAAAAAAGAAGAGGGAAAAGGATTTCTATTCTTTCAGAAATTCTTCCTAAACTTTCACGATACCTTAAATCGCTTTTGACCCGGATAAGGATACAACCCGATTTCAAGTATATCATACATTTTAACAATATTTTCTAACTAATTTCGGCAAATGTTGGTAATTTGGGAAGAAACCATCCTTGCAAAAGATGATCACGTTTTGTATAACCATCATATGATTTAAGGAACCGGACATTTGTTTAATCGTCTTTGAATTATACTGTGATAAAAGATATGGACATTATGGGGTCTCCAACGCGCAATTTCAATGACAAGCAAATAAAAAAAATTAAGTTCGACCGGGCAGAACTATTATTATCATCCACTTTGGGGTAAAGGAAACATTTTTATGTAAAAGTATCTGAATTCAAGCGTGTTTCTCTTTAAACTTCATATACCAGAAAGACGGTTTGGATAATGCAGTTAACTTATCCAAAAACCATAAAGTGAATGAGCCCGTTATATGGTGCCATACCAAAACGGGAACCTCTGTTGACAATTTTATACTTCAAGGATTGCCATCTATCAAACCTTCTAAGATACCAAATTTGAAACAACTATGTGGGTAAATGTGACTAGGATTATCAACATAGCCAATATCGGTAGGTATCGTTATATGTGTTAGACAAATCCGAGGAGAAATGTGGGAAGAATCATCAAAATACAGAATTTCGAGAGATACCGTTATATGGGAACTATACCAAAACGTGGACCGATAGATCATTTTCAATACCAACCATCCTATACACAATACAAATTGTTCTGCTAAATTTGGATGCTCTACGTCAAATAATGGAGGCTGTATCGTAATTTAAACAAACAGACATACAGACGGACAAATCGACTTAGAATTTTGTGCTGATTATGAATATACATATGTATATTTTATGGGGTCTATGAAGAAAATTTATGGATGTTACAAATGGAATGAAAAAGGTTATATACCCTCCTTTCCAAGGTGGAGGATATAATTAGCATTAAAGACTAAAATTACGGGACGGCAACGCGGACAGGGCCAGCTAGTTCTTTTATACATACATACATATATATATTAAATATATAGTTAAAACAAGTAAAAAACATTAAGTTCGGCCGGGGCGAACTTATAACACCCCCCACCATTGTGTAAAGAAATCATCTATATATATATATATATATATATATATATATATATATATATATATATATATATATATATATATATATATATATATAGATGATTTCTTTACACAATGGTGGGGGTGTTATAAGTTCGCCCCGGCCGAACTTAATGTTTTTTACTTGTTTTAACTTACATCGAATAAAATCAAATCATGCGAATAGTTACATGAAGACAGCTGTATATGAAGAGAGCTGTATATTAAATCTGAACTCATTTTGGCAAAATGTAGCACAGATATATTGTATGCTAGCTGGTCCGGTCTGCGTTGCTGGTCCGTATTTTTAGTCTATAATACTTCGAAGATCTGGTTATATTATATGGGAACTATGCCAAAATATATACCTATTTTGAATTGGTCTGTAAGATTGTTGTCTACCCCTCAAAGAAGCCTCAACTTCGCTACTTCGGAATATTGATCTACACTGAAAATTTTCTGCGAAGAGCTTTCAACCCCCATAGAAACCTAAATGACATATGAGGGCCAAATCAATAGAAAAGTGTGGGCAAAACCCCGGAAATGGATGAAATCAGGGGATAGCTTCATATGAGGGGTTAAACCAAAACGTCGGCCTAAATTGGTAATTTTTTGCAAGGATGATTTCTTCTTTCTAAGAAATTGTTCGAAATTAGTATGTACAAGTAAAAAAACAGTTAGTTCGACCCTCCGCCATTTGGAACGAATTAGAAAGTTTTCAAAAAAAAAAAAAATAAATAAATAAAATCCATTTGAAATTCTGTTAAAATCTTAAAAATACCGAATATCGGAAGTTGCCAATAAATGGAGGGATATACGATATTGTGGACCTATATAGACAAATCTATGTCTGGGGGTAAAGTACTCACAAAGAACTCCTTGTGGGATTTTCAGATAATTCATTTGAAAAATGTGGCTAAATTCATCGAAATACCAAATTTGGGGGGGGGGTGTTGTACCGTTATATGGGTCTATACGATATCGTGGACGTATATACATAATTCTTTTCCAAGGGATTAAGTACTCACAAGAAACTCCTTGTTTGGAATTTCCGACAATTCCATTGAAAAATGTGGCTGATATAGCCCATCTGTGCGTGATTACAACAGACAGACGGACGGACAGGGCTAAATCGTGTTAGAATTTTACGCTGATCAAGAATATATGTACTTTTTTGGGTCTAAAATTATTATTTCGATTAGTTACAAACGGAATGACGAACTTAATATTAATATCTATTAATACTTGAAATCGGGGTATACCCTTATGTGGAGGCTATACCAAAACGCTGACCGACATAATCCATATTTTGTACAAATGATTCTACATATAACCCATTAGTCTGTATTCCAAAGATGTATTTTTAAATTTTTGGGCCTGGGCGACCAAATTCAATAGTATGTGCCAAAATCTGTTCTATAACCTTAAACCTGAATCGATTACAATTACAACTAGTTGTTATTTTGCAGCTTCGTGTACACACCAAACGCGTGCCAACTCTACACTTCAACAGAAGTCTACATATTGAAAAAAAAAAAGTATCTTCCTTCCGTTCCTATTTCCAAAAACAACATCCTAGGAACACCTTTCCCTACTCCAATTCGAACTACCGTATTTCACTCTCATACAACCAAAATGTTCCATAACCCAAAGGAAAGGAGAAATTATTTTAAAACTAGTAAACAAGCAGCTAAGTTCGTGCGGGCTGAAATTTTAATTTTGGAATTGGAATTTTAAAAATTCCAAATATTGGGTGTTATTATTTTTCGTATATACGAACACATGAACCTCTGCAGTCAATTATCTACCAGAGGGGGTGGTACCAATTGCGAACTCCAAATTTTGAAAAGTGTGGCTAAAATTGTCAAAATATCGAATATTGGGAAGTACCTATACAAAAACGTGACGTGAATTTGTGTGGACAATCTTCTGTCATAAGAGGTAGTATCCATTACAAACTCCAAACTCCAAATTTGAAATGATTCCGGTGAAAAGTGTGACACAAATAATCAAAATACCGAACATCTGAAGGCATAGATATATGGGGGCTATACGAAAACGTTGACCTCTATAGCCAATTATCTGCCAGAGAAGGCGGCGCCAAATACCAATAAAATACCGAATGTATATGGTTACTACACCAAAACTTGGACGTATATACTAACTGTCAAACGGAATGACAAACATAATATACCCTCCATACTATGATTTTAACAAACGGGACTGACAAACTGGCAGAACAATAATATCTAATGCCATCAAATCGATAGTTCCTATTTCATACTTTCGAAATTTACAAAAAGAAACGGTATTTTTAAACTCATCAATTTGTAAACAATAGTCTCGAAATATGGTTTTGGCGAATACCTGAGTTTGAGTTGGTTTGAATATTCGTTCTCGGTTCTTCGCTATTTCCGGGTACAAGATTACATTTGCCCTCCACCGAAACTTGGATCGCAACAAAGAAAGCGGCCATTATTATCAGGGTTAGCATCATGCAGGCGCCGAAGGTCAAATACTCTTTCCGTTTGAACATCTTTGCATTCGCTCCTTCCAAATGAGCAAGGGCTGATGGCTCGGCTATAACTTTGGCTGAAAATAGAGAGGGAAGAGATGTTTATTAGACAGCATTTGGATATTACAATTTTCTTATATTGCGGTGAGAGAACGTGTAATTCTAATAATTTTTTCGTTTCCAATTTTAGAGGGAATTATATCGGAAAAACTAGTTTTATTCCAAATCTTGTTCTACCTTAAGTGGAAATGTGCCATTGTCAGTTCGAAAAATACCAACGCATTAAAACATGTTCACTTGCGAATTGTCCTTCAAATCACCTCGCAATGTACTTTTTGGCCAGTAAACCATGTCTTGGGAGAAACTTAAAAATGGTCCCAACATTTACGCATACAAGTATCAGTTCGAAAATATATAGTTGCCGCAACTGTCTGTTTTTAGCAGCACTGCTCAAAACCGTGTTCTAGAACATGAGTCGAAAAAAGAGATGATTTAAGAGAAAATTAAAATTCTGTTTTTCTATATTTTACCATTCCATTTATTTGTTTTTTTTTTTAAACATGAATGTTTGCCAAAATAATTTATAAAGCAAATGGATAAAAAATATTTATATAAATAATGAATTGACACTGTTTTGTTCTTGATTTAAATAAGCAAAGAGAAATTTGGCTGGAAAGAGATAATTTTTCTTGAGCAGCGCTGTTTTTAGGTACGAGAGACTGGTGAGAAGTAATTGTGTCCTCATTCTCTTCACCCCTGTCACCCACAAATTGATACTTGCCTAATGTAAATCGAGGAATATACGCAAGTTGCTGTTGTAATATATCTATAATTAGTTTATCGGATTTAGTAAAGGCGGTGGATTTCCACTGCATACACATCAAATAAAGAAGGCTAATGCGGCAAAAATGCTGTAATGTATACAAACAAACAGATAACCATGTTTTGATTTGGGAAGATCATGACTTCTAGTTACAAAATAACATATTCGAAATAATTTTTAATTTGTTTTCCATGAGACTATTTTTCGTGATAATGTGAGAAAGGATATTTTTTGGAACCCTCAATGCCTTCAGTACTTCTCAATTGCTAGAAACTGTATCTTAAGTTATTTTAAAAGGACTCAAATTTATTCCATCCGCCCATTGTAGAATTATTAGAAGGTCGAAGCAAAACTACAAAAAAAAAAATACAACTCAACAACAACCACTTAGAAATTTGTTATTGTAAGTATTGCAAGTTTAAGAGTTATATGTCTAAAAATTAAAACAAAACAATAAATTTGTAATAATTTCAAAAAAAATATATTTTTGGAATTTTGGCTTTTGGGCTGAACTTTTAATACCCCCCACCATTGGGTAAACAAAACATCTTTTATAAAACTATCTGAATTCAAACGTGTTTCACTTTAAACTACAAATACCAGTAAGACCGTTTAGATAATCCTGTTAAACTTAAAAAAAAACAAAGTGGGTGAGGCCATTATATGGAGGCAATACCAAAAGGGGAACCTCTATAAACAACTTTTTACTTCAAGGATTGTCATCTACCAAATCTTCTTAAAAACCAAATGTAAACCATTTTCGTGAGTAAATGTGACTAGGATTATCAAAATACAGAATATCGATGAGAATCGTTATATGTGCGCTATAGGAAAAGGTTGATCTAAATATTCAATGTTCTGCCGCCGGAGCTAGAACCCATTATGTACAACAAATACCAATTTTTAGACAAATCCGTGGAAAAATGTTGTAAAAATCATCAAAACACCGAATATGGGGAGGTACCGTTATATGGGGCTATATAAAAACGTGGACATATATCTCTTTTCAATACCAACCATTCTAGACACAATACAAATTGTTTTGCCATCTTTGAAGCTCTACGTCAAATAATGTAGGCTGTATCGCGATTTCAACAAACAGGCCGACAACTGGACATCGTTAAATCGAATTAGAAGTTTATGCTGATTATGAATATATATTCTTTATGAGGTCTACGACACGAATTTTTGGGGATGTTACAAACGGAACGACAAAGTTAATACACTTTATGATATGGAGATATAACACATTTTTCCAGCACCAAATCCATCTATTGAATCAACGCAACAATGAGTTATCCTTGGTTCTTGTATACCATATGTGCGTGACAAAGACATACAAAGTCAAATGCCATAATGTGCACATTTTTTTTAATCCTATTGAATTAAAGCAAGAATGTTGGAAATAGCATCAAATTTTAGAATAAGTTTAGATTTGTTCGAATTGGTCACCTTTGGCACTAATTGTGGCCTTCAAACGGCAAATGAAACCGTCACACGCTGCCCGAATGTTGCTCTGCAGTATTTTGGCCCATTCCAAGCGAAGCGCTTGCTTGAGGTGATCGCTTTGATATTTTTAGTGCCAACCTTGCTTTCCAAAATACTCCAGACACAATAGTCCAACGGATCGGTATCCGGAGATTTTGGTGGCCATTGTGTGCTGGAAATAAAGCGAGGAAACTCATTTTGTAACCATTCTAGGGTGGCGCGTGCTGAGTGCGATGGTGTTGAGTCCTGTTGGAATGTCCAAGGTCTGAGGCCAAAATATTTTCGTGCCCAAAGCTTTAATACACCCTCCAGAATATTTTCGCGACAATATTCGGCATTTATTCTGATGCCACAGTCGATTAATACGACCGGAGAGCGACCATGGGCTGTTATGGTGGCCCACACCATCACCATGGCCGGGGCTTGAGTTCTGGTGGCCAACCGAAGGATGGCAAGTAAACACGATAATTTTGTTTGTTTTAAACTGCTGGATAACGAATGTTTTCTCATCGGAGAAAACCAAATTCGGCAGTCAACCACTTTCGACCAAGCGAAGCAACTCTTTAGCTCTTTTGAGTCTATTTTATTTCTGTTGCGGTGTAAGTTCTTGCACTTTTGGAATTTCGATGAATTTACCCCTGGCTCATTTTTCAATATCTGCCGAATGAAATATTGCAATATGTTCCGCTCAAGAGTCATTTTTCGGCCACTGCGACGCGGGTTTCGATCAAGTCGCTTCTTTACTTTTCGAACCATTTCTGCTGATGTTGCTGTTTTCTTCCGTCCACTTCCTTGACGTCGGGCTTCGCTACCAGTCTCATGGTTACGAGCGATGGTACGAGACACAAAAGAGTTATTCACATTTAAATGCTGAAGTGCTCTAACGATAGCCACTTGTGGTTTTCGAGCCAAATATAAAGAAATAAACACTATCACGCTTGAATTCCATCACGAATAACTTTTTTTCTGGAAAATTCTCACCAAAATGCTTTTGTACGCTTGTAAACAGCATAACGAGCTGTCACTGGAATAATTTCAACTCCTGTCGGACGAGTGGCTTAGAAATGGCAGCAGTCTGAAGTTGTTTGCAGTTTTTTCGTCTCACCCTGTATATCTTTGGCAAAGACATATAGGCCGGTTATTACATCCTTCCGATAGATAAACAAGTAAAAAGCAGTAATTTGGAACGAATTTGAAAATTTTCAAAAATTAAAATTCATTAAATATTATGTTAAAAAATTTAAAATATCTAATATCGGAAGGTGCCAATATATGGGGGATATACGATATCGTTAACTTATATAGAGAATTCTCTGTCAGGGGGTAAAGTGCTCACAAAGAACCTCTTGTGTACAATTTCAGACAATTCCGTTGAAAAAATGTAATTAAAATCATCAAAATACAGAATATCGAAGGTTACCGATATATGGGGGCTATACAATATCGTGGACCTACATAAACAATTCTCTTCCAGAGGGTAAAGTACTTAGAAAGAACTTCTTGTGTGGAATTTTAGACAATTCCATTGAAAAATGAGGCTAACATCATCAAAATACCGAATATCGGGGGGAAGGCTAACATTTTGCAGGTTAAGTTCGTAAATGGACAATTTCGGTCCATGTTTTCGTATAGCCCCCATATAACGGTACCTCCCGATATTCGGTATTTTAATGATTTTAGCGACATTATTCCCCGGAATTGTTTCAAATTGCCAGAAAATACTTTCGCAAATCCACGTTTTCGTATAGCCTCCATATAGACGCATAACGGTATTTTTCCGACCTAACTTAACTGTTTTTACTTGCTTTTAATTAAAATATAGATGCCATTGTGAGAAATATGTAATGCCACTCTGAAAAAAAAAACATTTATTTTAAAGAAAAGATGTAAAAATGAAGCCTGGATAATGTGAACTTTATCCTTCTCTTTTCTAAAGTAAGGGATAACGAAACTGGACTAGAAAAGTGGTAAGAACGGGACATAATATAATGAGATGAATATTTGTTAGGCCGTCATTTAGCAGTCATTCGTTAAGAAGTTAAAAAATTATGATATTGACCTATTTTAGTACTTGGTGACCTCAATATGCCCTAGGTTGCTTGGCCTATTTATTTTAAAAAGGATCAGACTTTGACTACGCTAACTACTCTATATCAAGGTCTAGAGTCAGGCTCTAGAGTCTCGTAGAATAATAAAGATTACCTTGTTAAATTAAAAGAAACTCTAAATTTAGTCCAAAATCCAAAAAAAAATTATGAATTTTCACATTTAAAAAGGAAGACTTTGACCAAACCCCGTGTTTTCAAATTCAAAAACAAAGATTATGTTAATGATAACGAAATCGCTCAAAGCTTTGCAAATTTCTTTTCAGATTTTTTTTTCAAATAATGACTGTCAACCAACTAATCAATAAGGAGTGCAGGCTCTGATTGTGTCCCTACCAAAATGTTGTTATACCAACTTAGCTATCCATTAAAACTGATTTTTAGTAATTATTTTTTATACTCTACACCAGGGTAGGGTATTACGTTTTTTTTTTTTTTTTGTAACAGGCAGAAGAAAACGTGATAGACCCATAGTTTCTTTTGATGATCTGCATAGAAGGACATTCTGAGTCGATTTATGCATGTCCGTCCGTCTGTCCATATATTTTTGTAAACAAGTACAGTTCGCATTTATTGTCCGATCTAGATGAAATTTTGCACATGTCATTTGTTTGACCTAAGGACCAACCCTATTGAAATTGAAGATAATCAGTTAAAATTTAGATATAGCTCCCATATATATCCAGCACCAAGCGTGTAATATTAGCCCAAATAGTACGCAATTATGCACACGCGATCAAATTGAGCCTGGAGATAAGTATGCCAAATTTCATCGAAATCGATCCAGATATAGCTATAGTTCCCATATATATTTTTTGTCCGATTTGTTATTTTTGTCCTTCGATATTCGGGGAAATATATCAAATACAGCTCAGAAATACTTTGCCAAATTTTATCGAGATCAGGCCAGATTGGAATATAGCACCCATACACACCTTCATACGAATTCAAGTTAATTGTGCACCAAATGATTAATACAAGTCCGAATTAAAAAGGCATAAATGCCTCCGCAAATGTAGTAGAAATCGATTAAGAGGGGGTATTCCTCCCATATATTAATTCTTTTGGACTTTGAATTATAACTATAATCATATGCGGTATAATTTTATTCTCACAAATTCCCCATAAAAACGTTTACTTGTTATGTGTTGCTCTACAAAATATGCAAAGGGTTGTAGGGTATCATAAAGTCGGTCCCGCCCGGCTTTTGGACTTTTCTTATTGGTTTCTTTTACGTCCTTACCAACATGATTTTCGGGCGGGGTTGTCGACTATCACAAATCTTATCCAATTTATCTGAATAGTTGTAAAGCGGTTTATCAATAGTATGCAAACTGATGCAATCTATTCAGATTTTAGTAAAGAATTTGATCGTGTCAATCACAAACTTTTAATAATAAACTAAATCATGTAGGCTTCGGTAATAAATTATTGTAGTGGATGTTCATTTATTTAATAGATGACACAATTAGCTTTATTTGAGGTTTTTAAACTAACTAAAATACATTCGGGTGTTCCGCAAAGAATCCATTTTGGACCGGTCCTTTTTCTCTTATTTGTAAACCATTTGTCGGCTTCAATAAAATAGACCAAGTCAGTGATGCATGCAGATGATGTAAAGATATTTTTAACACACATCCAATGAACAGTCAGATTTATTGCAATGTCATCTCAATAGCTAGTTTTCGTGGTGCGATTTAAATTTCATGGATGTAAATAAATGTGCTTTTCACGATCTACTTCCTTATCAACTGTATGTAATATTAAGGGAAACACTTTAACACCCGTGGAATCCTTTGTTGATCTTGGTCACCTAAAGGACCCTAAATTATCTTTTAATAATCATATTATATCAATGATTAATAAAGCAAATGGTGTTTTATGATTTATAAAACGGTGGACCAAGGAATACCCTGCCACCGTATGTTACCAACCAATTATTTGTATAACTTGTTCGGCCTATAATGGAACAGGCTTCAGTTGTATGGGATCTCAAATATGCCATCTACTCTGATAAAATTGAATCGGTGCAAAAACAATTTCCGCTTTTACGCTGAGAGATCTCCATTGAAACAGTGGCATTGCCTTATCGCCCTATACAAGCAGACTAAAATTAATTCGATTATCTACATTAGGTAGTAGACGTATTATGTTCAATGCCATAACGGCATTTAAAATCTTAAATGGTAATGTGCCTTTGGACTCTCTTATTTCTTCTTTTAGAAGGAATATCCCATTGAGATTAAGCAGATATTATCAGTTTTTAAACACTGATTTCCACCGAAATAATTAATCTATGGGCGAACCCATAAATAGAATGGGTCTAGATTTCAACTCTTTGTATGATATTGTAAATTTTGAAACTAGTATTGTTATAAAATAATCTAGAATAATTATGTTTTTAAATGAGTCATATGGCTGGGAGTATAAAAACACACCCGGTCAGAATCCGCCCAATATTTTGAGCATGTTTCTTAGTTAGTGTGTGCTTATTATAAGGGAAAATTCTATTTACCTTTTTCAAAAACATTTTTCGATTGAGTTGGACGCAGCTGTTGGAACGGCATCAGCAGTGATTGCGATTGAAGATACAATTGCCTACATACACACTGGTCACACATCCATTTAATATTCGCCGATGAAAGGAGCGCTAATTGATCTTTTGTTAGATCGACACAAATGCTATGGAATCTTTTGGCACACTCCCCACCGCAAATGATGTACGCCATTTCATCAAGTGGGTTTTCACACTTTTTACAATAGTTCATTTTTCCCGTATTCCTAAAAAACGATCCGGAATGTACAAGTTTGCCGAAGCTACTAGCACTGCCTAGAATTGCACTGGCTATAATGAGTTGTTGATAATACAAGCCAGTGCCACACATTCACACATACCTACATGTATACAAAAACTTATTAATAAAACGATTTAATTGATGTAGGGAATAAAAACCCCCGCAAGCACCGCAGTGCATGAACTGCATTGGCGAAGAATAACTGTTTGTTGTTTTCAACCTAGCTTATCGTGTTCCAATCACCTCGTTCGTTTTGCTTACGTTTTTAAGAATATTTTAAAGCTTTCGTTGTGAGTAATTTCCAGGTGGATTTCCAAGAACTATTAGTTAACATATTAATTGCTCGATGGAAATCCTCCTAATAAATATTTACAGCTCGAAAGAGAAGGGTTACGTTTTTCAGACACATCGGCTTCTTTTTTATTTTAAGAGTTATCAAGGCAAGATGACTTCACTTCCATTCAGATTCTGCCATAGTGAAGAAATTGTTGTAGTGGAAGAATTCAAAGACCGTTCTTGCATCTTTACGGCAGAGGCCTACTTGAACACGTGAAATGCAGCAAGCTGTTTAGCTTGGTTCTCAGTCAACTAAAACAAATGCAGGGATATGGCATCTGGCGAACCAAACTGTCCGAGTTCGAACCGAAAGTCGGATGAAATTTCCGATTTCCGATGGGTATTCGGTTCGACTTCTGACCGAAAGTTGTATGGAGTGACTGAGGTTTTGTCGAAATTAAGGGTAAGATGTAAAATATGTAATTTTTAGCCGACTTTTAAACCGAATTCGCAGGGAAAATGGAATTAATGGTAAATTTGAAAGGGAATTCGGTAGTTGTCGGAACGAACTAGGAAGTAATATCGTGCGAATTTCTGTTTTTTTTTGCCGACTTTTTTCGTTCCGAATTCTGCTCAGAGGACTTATGAAGTACCGATTTACATATTAACAACAACTGCGACAAAGGAAAAAGCTATAACCGTTGACTTTTCAAAAACACAAAGTATCATACACTGGAATAATGTTTATCCAAAAAGTCAGCTAGTTATACCCACTTTGGGAAGGAGGGCACATTAAATTTGTCATTCCGTTTGTAACACAAAAAAATGCACAAAATTAGTGCTATTGAAAAATATCAAAGTTTTTTTTATGAACTGTGTAATATTTATTGTGTTTTATTGTTTGCACCAACATTTAGTTGTTGTAGACATTTTTTAAATACCACTGAATGGTTAGGTGTAGTGCAATTTGATTTTTCACCACTACAACACTAGTCCTGACTTTAACAGACGTGTTAGATATCCGACATTTGGTTTCCTGGGATGTTACTTTACGCAATCAAAAAAATCATAAATTTCAATTTTTTTCCAATTATTTCACAATTTATGGCATGACATTGTACCAGAACTTTTATTGTAAATTGTCTTTGTATCGATAAAAATATGGCTCAGGTCGACACGGGCTCAAGTTCACAGAACTTTTGTTTAAGGCAGACAAGCAATTGCTACCCAGACAATCAAATATTTATTTCTGTTCATTTAATATTCTCGTCTGGGAGTAAAAGCTCATTTCACCTATTGCCCTACTGTCAAAAGTGTTATATGTTTCCAAAAAGAAGATTTGTTTATTTTTTATAAGTAATTGCGTTAGTTGGTTTTGGAGGTGTCGTGTCCGAACATAATCCCCATTGCAATTATGGGATTATGTCCGCTTCCAAAGTGGAAACAATCCCCTTAGGCAGTATGACCGTTTGCTGTATCGACAATTTACAAAAATAATTAATTTTAAAAATCTTTGATTCGCGGTAGCCTGTGCAGGAAATACCCAGAGGACCTAAATAAATATGGTATAAATATTGCGACGTGCCACATTTGGACTATATTGGTTACTTCCCTCACATTACAGGGTGAGATAAAAAACTGCAACAAACTTCAGACTACTGCCATTTCTAAGCCACTCGTCCGACAGCTGTTAAAATTATTCCAGTGACAGCTGAATATATTGTTTATAAGCGTACAAAAGCATTTTGGTAAGAATTTTTTAGAAAAAAAAGTTATTCGTGACAGAATTCAAGCGTGATAGTGTTTATTTCTTTGTATTTGGCTCGAAAACCCCAAGTGGCTATCGTAAGAGTACTCCAGCATTTAAATGTGAATAAATCTTTTGTGTCCCGTACCATCGCTCGTTACCGTGATACTGGTAGCGTAGCCCGACGTCAAGGAATTGGGCGGAAGAAAACAGCAACATCAGCAGAAATGGTTCGAAAAGTAAAGAAACAACTTGACCGAAACCCGCGTCGCAGTGGCCGAAAAATGGCTCGTGAGCTGAACATATCGCAATATTCCATTCGGCAAATATTGAAAAATGAGCTCGGGGCAAAGCCATTGAAATCCAAAAAAGTGCAAGAACAGAAAGAAAATAGACTCAAAAGAGCTAAAGAGTTGATTCGCTTGGCCAAAAGTGGTGAACTGTCGAATTTGGTTTTCTCCGATGAGAAACAAACAAAATGATCGTGTTTATTGCCAAAGAGGAATAAATGCCGAATATTATCATTTCCAGCGCACAATATCCACCAAACTCTCCGGATACCAATCCGTTGGACTGTTGTGTCTGGACTATTTTGGAAAGCAAGGTTGGCACTAAAAAATACCAAAGTGTCGATCACCTCAAGCAATTGCTTCGCTGGAATGGGCCAAAATACCGCAGAGCAACATTCGAGGCCATAATTCGTGCCGAAGGTGACCAATTCGAACAAATCTAAACTTATTCTAAAATTTGATGCTACTTCCGACATTCAATAAAATTAAAAAAAAAAATAGAAATTATGGCGTTTGACTTTGTTGCAGTTTTTTATCTCACCCTGTATGTTGGTTCAGTTGTATTACTACCTATAATGTCTCTAATATCAACAGAATTTAAACTTTAAATCAATAAAGAAAGGCTTAAAGTCGGGAGGGGCCGACTTTATGATACCCTACGCCACTTTGCATATTTAGTAGAGCTTCACATAACAAATAAAAGTTTTTATGGTGAGTTTGCGAGAATTAAATCATACCAAGTATGATTATAGTTATAATTTGAAGACCAAATTCGTGCACAGTCAACTTGAAATCGGATAAAGATATATATGGAGCTATATTCAAATCTGAACCGATCTCGATAAATTTTTGGCAAGGGTTATTCTGAGCTGTAGTTGATATATTCCCCTAATGTCCATGTCTCGAAGTGCATACTACGGCTGTGGATAACACATATAACAAATCGTATGAACATTATATACGAGAGCTATAGCTATGTCTGAACCGATTTTTACCAAATTTGACAAACTTGTTTCTTGACTCAATTTTATCGTAAGTGCCAAATTCCATTCCATTTGGGCCAATATTACACGTTTGGTGCACAATAAAAGACAAATTGGATGAAGATATATATGGGAGCTATATCCAAATCTGAACCGATTTCGATAAAAATTGGCAAAGGTATTTCTGAGCTATATATGATATATGACCCCAAATATTGTTGTTACAGGGGGCATATTACTGCTGCGGAGGACAAAAATAACAAATCGGATGAACAGTATACATGGGAGCTATAGCTATATATTAACCGATTTTCGATTTGGCATACTTATTTTCAAGCCTAATTTGGTCGTAGGTACAAACTCCATATTATTTGGGCTGCGTTAGGTGCACAATAAAAGGCAAATCGGACGAAGATATATATGGGAGCTATATCTAAATATTGACGGATTATCACCAATTTCAGTAGGGCTCGTCCTTGGGTCTAACAAATGATTTGTGCAAAATTGCATCTGGATCGGATTCAATAAATGCGACCCGTACTTTGTTTACAAAAATACATGGACAGACGGACGGACATGCATTAATCGACTCAGAATGTGATTCTATGCAGATCATCAAAACTAATGTACAAAGACATCATGCCCTGACCATCTTGTGCAGTTACCTGTACGCTTGGAATTTTGCTATGACAATAAGTAAATCGCAAGGATAAACTCTTCGTGTATGGGGACTGCATTTGGCGTTTTCCCGCTTTTCTCATGATCAGCTGTACCTGACATGACATGTTCACGCGTTGGCAGACCGAGCGATTTGTTTGTTTACGCTCCTGAAGAAAATTCAAAAAATATCATGCACTATGCAGCAATGTTATTTGGTCTAAAAGTACAAAAGCCTCCGTCAAATGTATTGAAAATCGATTCAGGGTTGGATACAGTTCCCAGATTATGACTCCTCTAAAGCCATGATACGCATTCAAATAATGTTCATAGTTGGTATGATCTACTTCACATAAATTCCCAATATTTTTTTCGGGAGCTCTATTAAATACGCATAGTGGTGTAGGGCATCATATAGTCGGCCCCGACTTTTGACCATTCCTTACTGGCTTAGAATAGTTGTTTACCAATATTTTTTCTAAATTTATTGAATATTATCTCATAAAACTAAAATAAGTTTTAATTGATAGGCTTCGATATCATTTTCGCATTGTTTATAAATGAAAATACCGAATATATAAAATCGCGATTTTTATCGCTTTTCATACAATATGAACTTATTTATAAGGAACACTGAACTCAAAAATAAATACTTGTTTTTGTTAACAAAAAACAATGCTAAGCTGTAGTGTTGTAAGGTATCACATGGTCGGCCCCGCACGACTATAGCCTTTGCTTACTTGTTTTTTTTTTTTTATTTTTTAGTCCATTTGAACCCCTAAATGTACATCTTAAGAACAATAGGCTTTAATTTTGACCCTAACCCTACCGCCATACAAAATTTCGTGAGGATCGGACGATAATTGCGACATGCATATAATACCCTCAAAACATAGTGTTGCGGAGTGTAAAAATTAAAAAAAAAAAATACAATTCAAAATTGGAAGTCAAATTGAAAAAATCGCATGCGATAAAAAAAATATGACAAAAATTGAAAAAAAAATTGGAACAAAAGCTATTAACTTTTCTACTGCTATATTTTTCCGCGAATTTCCTAGATTTTAAGCGTTTCTGGCAAGAGACCATTTCGAATTAATGGGAATTGTGAAAATCGACCCAGCGGTTCTTCACTTATAAGCAGAATAAATAAGATCTATTCTTTTACATATATATTGTACCTATTTTGCTATACATTCGATTTCTTGGCTATTAGCATCACTGTACTGGTCAGACTGTTCTTTTAATGTATGAGTGATTTGGCTGGGTTTGAAAATATTAGCGGTTTAGTGGAAATTTTCCTATTTTCTTACATAAAAGTTGGGGTCTATTTTACCCGCTAGTTATTGTCCGATGGCCGCCTAACTTAGTAGGTTTCTGCCCACTCCTAAACTCTAACTCCATGTAAATTTTCGCGTCGATTGGTTCATAATTGCGGCCTATAAAAAAACTTCAATATCAGGAAATTTTTCTGTTTTTGTCCATTTCAACCCCTAAATATCGTGCGATCATCTCCAAAAACAATAGGGTTCTATTCTGATCATAACTCTACCTCCAGTTTCAATTTCGTAAGGATCGATTTATAATTGCGACCTGTAGCTTGATTACAAATTAACATGGACAGACGGACGGACGGACATACATAGCTAGATCGACTCAGCTCGGCGAGATAGGAAGATCCAGATATACTTTCTTATGTGGGAAATCAATATTTCGTGGTGTTACATAATTTTTGGCCCAATCAAACTTATAATACCCCCAACACATAGTGTTGTAGGGTATAAAAACAAACGGGGTGAGCTAAATAAAACCGTTTAAAATGGGAGGTACCGTTAAATGTGGGATCTGCATAGAAAATTTACTGTCATAGGTTAAAGTGCGCATTAAGATCTTCCAATATGAAAATAGAAACAATTTCGGTATGTAACGTCGCTAAAATCATGAAAATACCGAATAAACGGTTAGAAAGGCGTGATTTTGCAAGGAATACAAAATAGAGTTGTAACCACAAAACATTTACCACTCAATAAATAACAATTGCAACCATTGCCACTTCTAAAGCACAACATATAATTATCCAGGAAGTGTTTATCATACCCATGGTACGATGAAATCAAGGTAGGGCACTGCTACCACCTCGAAGTATACATTTTAGACCCCACAAAGTATATATATTCTTGATCAGCATTCTATGTCGATTTAGCGATGTCCGTCCGAAGATTGATAAAATTTTACTCAATCGTGTATTATGTCTGCAGGACTTTTGGTATTGAAAATGGGCCATGTAGTGATTTTGTAGATGATTTTAGCGACATTACTCACCGAAATTGTTTAAAATTTGGTATTTGAAGTTCGAAATGGATACTACAGCCTATGACAGAAAATTGTCTGTGCAGATCCAGATTTTGGTATAGCCCCCATATAATAGAATCTCCATATATTGATGATTTTAGCTACATTATTCACCGAATTTTTTTTTATTTCAAGTTTCGCATTTGAATATTGTAATGTCTAATGACAAAAGTCGCCTATGCAGGTCCACGTCGTCGTATAAACCCTATAACGGATACATTCAGTATTTTTTAGATTTTAACAGAATTTGTAACGGATTTTATTTTATCTTTTTTTTTGAAAATTGCCAAATTCGTTCCAAATGGTGATGGTTATACAGCTTACTCACAGCTTTTTTAATTGTTTTATTTCCAAACTATGTTGACCTTGCGATTAAATTGTTTACCAATACAATACGGGTAACTCGAAATTAGAAAAATTTATTAATATATGTTAATTTTTAATTTTATGATTTTTAAATATATTTTTCACTTTATTCTCTAAATGTGTATGTATGTATATCCATTGCAGTCGTTTCTTATTGAATTTTGATTTTGTTTAGGGGGACTAGTAAATTACAATATTAAAATTTAGACTTAAATTACCCGAATCAGTTTGTCATTCCTCCGCCAATAGATCTAAAGATAATTTCTAATCGGGTCACAGCACAAATCGGGTCATAATTTATAAAATATACAAATGTAAATTTTGCTGGGGAGGCATGATAATAACAATTTTGAGAACAATATTACTAAATGGAACAACGTTGTATATATACAATGTGGATGGGAATTTTCAGGTACCTTACTATCTAATGACAACGCTCACCAAGAGCTCAACAAATGATAACGAATTACAACCAATGACAGTATTCCAATGATTCGATTGGCATTAAACTTATTTTAGGTATTTAAAACTATTCTGATCAGTGATCTGACCAATGTGGCCAGTCTTTAAAACTTTCATACAATGCATCGGCAGATGTTGCAGTCGATGTTGGGTCCAATTTATTTGCTCCGACTATTCTATAATCCGACGACAGTTTGCCCAGGCGAACACCTTCGGCCAGCAATAACCTGGTTACGTTGAGCTGTTTCTCCGACGGCATTTGTTTCTTAAACGACCCGATGTACGCCAGACTTATGCTATCATCGTTGTAACCCTGGATGACGGAGCCACGATAATCCCAACCGCGACCCTCGTAAACGTTGCCATCTGCACCAATTAGGAAATTGTAAATGATATCATCCTGTTGCTGGGACTCGATGTTGAACGTCTGAGTGTAGCGCACCGTGAATGTACAGGCCGCCTGAAAATTCAAAGAAGAAGGTGTTTTGTTTTTAAATGCGGAAATAAGCTTTGAAATTCAATTTCTCGACATACCTGAGTTTCGCAATTTGAAGTCCGAGTATGGATTACAATGACTCGTTCAACAGGCGGATCCAGTGGAACCAAATCATTTATTGGAGGCTGAGCTAACCATCCGTCGCGTGCCACTATCCGTAAGACATTTCCACCGCCCACATTATCCAGAGCTAGAAAATATTCAATAATCATTTCTTGATATCGGCAAATAAATATTATTATTATAATATATGTAGAACAAACATAAAACAGTCCTGATATGAATGAGTCGAAAATGAATACGTGATCATAGATAGCTTAAAACTGTATGAAATGGGGATGTTAACTAGTTGGGGATGGTGATAGTATAGATGCTATATGTCGTTCAATATAGTTTTTCGGGAATGTTGATACTAGGGGCATTTTCGAACCAAATAATTGTTTTAATGTTGGCTTCATTAGAAGGCTCAGCAAACTCGGTAATTTTGGAGGCATCCATGGGAAAAATTTCCCAGCGACATTGAAATTTTCACAATTCAAATAAAACAAGTAAAAAACAGTTAAGTTCAGCCAGGCCGAACTTGTACAGAAATTCCATTGGAAAATGCGAATAAAATTATTAAAACACCGAAAGCGGATGCTATACAGACAGGTTCAAGTACCAACTTTAGAAACATCCCGTTAAAAAATGTGGCTATGATCATCAAAATGCCGAATAAAGGGAGGTTCCGTTCGAAGACGGGGACCTGTGTATATAGTTAAGTATCAGAGAAGATTGTATCTATTGTCAACACCAAAGCGATGGTGCGAGACAGAAGAGATTTAATTCACATTTAAATGCTGGAGTGCTCTAACGATAGTCACTTGTGGTTTTCCAGCCAAATATAAAGAAATCACGCTTGAATGGAATTCAATAAATTTATTTCTGGAAAATTCTCACCAAAATGCTTTTGTACGCTTGTAAACAATATAATGAGCTGTCACTGGAATAATTTTAACAGCTGTCGGGCGGTTGACAGCAGTCTGAAGTTGGTTGCAATTTTTTTCATCTCACCCTGTATATATATCTTCTATATCTATAAAAGAGGAAAATGTTTGTAATTTTGACTGTTTGTTTGTTTGTAATTGATGAACTCAAAAATTGGTAACCAGATTTTCCTGAAAATTTCCAAATATTCTGCAGCATCGTCTGAAAGTAACATAGGCTATATAAATTTTGAAATTTCACTTGGAATTGGAAATATAGCATCAGAATCGGAAGTACCCTCAAAAAACCGACCGATTTCATGTATTTGATGCATCAAACATGCTATCTATCTCCAATTTCAATGAAATTTGGTATGAGTGACGGAACTTGGTTTACAAATGAACTTGTCAAATCATATTGAAATCGGTTCAGATCTGGATATAGCTCCTATATGAATTTGCGGCCGATTTCGCACATTTACATGTAACACTAAGAAATCATGCAAAATTATAATTTGGGATGAGTGTATAATGGTCCACAAATAGTTCTTGGAATCTCTACATCGTTCCTTGCAAGATTTAAGAAAGGACTCAACACTATTTGGAGGTGGAGCATTAGTTTTATTAGCTGGAGATTTTCGTCAAACGCTGCTCGTTATTCTTGAATCAACACCAGAAGATAAATAAAATGCATGCCTAAAATCCAAAGAAATTTCTAAACAAATGATGGGTCTAGGAAATTAAAAAAATAAAAGTTGGTCCAGCCACGAAATATATAACATTTCCCTCCGACTTCTGTAGATTAACAAAATGTATTGAATAATACGTAGATTGTGTGTTTCTTGATACTGAAAACAATATCAATAATTGTCGGTGATTATGTGAACGCGCAGAACTTGCCGTGAAATGTATGAGGACCAAATTTGGCATGTTCCAGCTTTATTTCCTGGTCAGTTTTGCGAGGCATGTTCACATGTCACTAGACCAAGCGATTTGTTTTTCAGTATTCCTGAAGGAGCATTGCAATAAATAGGTCTTTTAAATTTTTGAATTTATTTTATTTTTATTTGAAAACCACACAATATTCTTATATAAAATTTTGGAAGCGTATAAAATATGAAAACGGCGTAGCGACAGGTTTCAGCTAGTTTATACATAGAAATAAAAATACATATATATTTTTAAATAAACTTAAAGAATACAAATTTATTATGTTATTTGTTTAGCAAGCATACACACATATTTTTACTAATACATACTTTTTATCATTACCCTTAATCAAATACATACACTGAGATATTGTTATTATTATTTTTAAATATACAAAACGACCTACGCACATATACAGATTTATACGAATATCTTTACAAATAGATTTTGGAGGTCCAATGTGGCCATGTTTGAATTATTCTATAAAGAGCATCGCCAGGACTTTCTGTAGCCGACAATTGACGGGCTCCGTTTAGAATATAATCGGGTTTTAATTTCTTGAGGCGGACACCTTCTTCCAACAACAGGAGGCAGGCTTTCAGCTGGGCTTCAGTGGGTTTTGTTTTCACATAGGTGCCGATGAAAGCAATTCCAACACTGTTGGTATTGAAGCCTTTCACTACGGCACCAACATCGTCCCAGCCACGGCCCACATATATGCGCCCATCGCTGCTCACAAGAAAATTGTAACCGATATCGTCCCATTCAAACGAGTTCATGTGGTACTCCTGGATGACCCGAACTCGTTCGCTGCATGTTGCCTGAAAATGGGGATAACACAAACGATTGCTTACGACAATTGCTTTCCGAAAAAAGTACTGAGACTTACCAGCGAGTTGCATGGTTCTGAAGCCGTATGAGCAATTACTACCCGCTGCAGTGGCAGCGTTTGTGGATCCAATTTGTTTTTTTGCGGGTGAGCTCTCCAAGTGCCGCGATCCACCAGACACAACTGTCCTTCGACACAGCCGTCATCTTCGTATGTTCCGCCAAAGACGCCCGAAGTTGTATCTACAATACAATGTGTGTATGTGAGTTTTGGAATGTTGTGTACAGTTATCGGCTAAGGACATACTATAGCATTGGCTAGTTGGAAAATAGTTTGAAACCGACCATTGGCAACCAACTTTTGCCAAGTATGTCCATACATTCCATTCAACTTAATCCTTAGGATTCATTTGATCTCTTTGTAAGGACTTGAAAGTATTTTTAGAATTGTCACTTTTTATTTTGCGAAAACGTTAAACACTTGAAAATCCGTTAAAAAAAAAAAAACACTAAATATAAATTATTATTATTTTTTAAACAAAATGTAAACTTAGCGGATCGACCGATTACATCTGATACTCACGGCGGTGGTGAGGTCTGTACTATTATTAATTATATTATATTAAAAAAACAAGTACAAAAGCAAGTGGCATGTGGTGTCCCACACCACTTCACATACATACGTTGCAACATTTTGTTCGTCTATTTAAATGGAATGGCCGCCGGTAATGAATGGCAACGACATTCACATTTCTAACTTGACCTAAACCCGTAAAGAAAATATAAAAGTCGGTTGGGGCCATTTATATGATACCCGCAGTAGAGCTTCACGTAACAAAAAAAATATATTTCAAATTTATGGGAGGTAAATCGTGCGCGTTACAGCTTTAAGGCAGTTTAAATTGGAAATAAACTTGACGAATATCTTTGCTATAGAGAGCGTGATATAAACCAACCGATTTGCCACAAACTTGGCATTTGATCTAACCTCAAACTTCAACCTACTTGGGGGAACATATGTAGGAGCTATATTCAAATCTGAACCGATGTGGATATCTGTATCTTGCACCGTACATTACACATGGGAGTATAAAATATCAAATTGAATAAAACAAATATATGGGAGCTATATAAATATAGCTATATCTGAGACAATTTCAATAAACTTCGTCTCTGGACTAAGCAAAACAATATCATCGCAATTGGTCAAAAATACATGGGCAGACGGAAGAATGGACATGCATGAATCGACTTAAAAAGTGAAAATAAATAAAAAATAAATAAATAAATAAATATACTGGAGCTATCTTGTCTCTATTTGCCTGTTACAAACACATGTACAAAGATAGTACCTTGTATCACAAAATTATGTGAGTTGTAAAAAAATTCGAAAAATGGTAATATTGCCCTCCGAGGATCTTGACTAGCCAAATATTAATATTTTACCACAGATCTCAATTTACATTAACATATTTGGATACCCTCGGTAGATATATCGTCTTGATGGTGCTTTTGCTTTTGATATAATTTAGCGATTCAACTTTAAGGGGACCGAATCTCCTTTCTTACTGGTCTAATTTTCTTCATAAATTTCTTTAAGTTTTAAAGCCACTTTCGGCATTTTTTAATGTTTCCAATACCATGAAAGTCCTTGCCGAGCATGTTGGCAATCGAGAAAGACAAATAAGTCATAATTCAAACTATAGACAAGTAACAAGTACTTCACGCCCCATATATTTGGTAAGGGTATTATGTCTTTGTGCATTTGTTAGTAACATGGAGAAGGAAGCGAAATAGACCCATAGTTACTTTTGAGGATCTCCATAGAATCACTTTCTGAGTTGATTTATGCATGTCAGTCCATCTGTCCGTCTGTCCATGTATTCTTGTGAACAAAATGCAGGTCGCATTTATTATCTGATTGAGATGAAATTTTCCAAACAACATTTGTTTGGCCCAAGGACGAACCCTATTGAAATTGGAGATAATCGGTAAGAATTTAGATATAGCTCCCATATATATCTTCGCTCGATTTGCCTTTTATTGTGCACCAAACGTGTAATATCAGCCCGAATAGTATGGAATTTTGCACATACAACCAAATTAGGCCTGAAAATAAGTATGTCAAAATTGATCGAAATCGGTTCAGATATAGCTATAGCTCCCATATATATTGTTCATCCGATTTGTTATTTTTGACCTCCGCAGCCGTAATATGCACTCTGTAACAACAATATTTGGGGAAATTTATCAAATACAGCTCAGAAATGTATTTGCAAAGTTATATCGAGATCGGTTCAGGTTTGGATATAGCTCCCATATATAACTTCGTCCGATTTCCCTTTTATTGTGCACCAAACGTCTAATATTTGTACAAATGGGATGGAATTTGGCACTTACGACCGAATTGAGTCTAGAAGCTATTATGTCAAATTTGGTGAAGATCGGTTCAGATATAGCTATAGCTCCCATATATACTGTTCATCCGATTTGTTATATTTGTTACCCACAGGCGTAATATTCACTCCGTAACAACGATATTCAGCGAAATATATCAAATACATCACAGAAATATCTTTGCCAAATTTTATCGAGATCGGTTCAGATTTGGATTTAGCTCCCATATATATCTTTATCTGATTTCAAATTATTTTTGCACCTAATGGGTAATACAAGTCCGAATTTAAAAGATACAAATGCTTCGGCATATTTAGTCATTTGAACTTTAAATTATAATTATAATCATAGCGTGTATGATTGAATTCTCCCATACAAACTTTTAAGTGTTATGCGGAGCTCTACTAAATTAGAAAAGTGGTGTAGGGTATCATAAAGTCGGCCCCGCCCGACTTTAAGACTTTCGTTACTGGTTTTAATCTGTCGTTTCGAAAGACCATAAAGACCAGGTGAACCTGTAGAATAATCTAATGTTAGTACAAATATTGTAATGTGCGAATTACCACCAGGTACCAGAAGGAGTAGTCCGCTTAATCCAATTTTCACAACATATCTTGTGTTTGTAGAAATATTGGAATGAGAATGAGAGAATCGATTATGTTTTGAGATTGGAGAAAACCAGGCATGCATACAATTTTGACAGTTAAGCTATTGTCAGTCTTTGACATTTTCTCAAGAGCTAAAGAGTTGCTTCGCTAGGCCGAAAGTGGTGAACTGACGAATTTGGTTTTCTTCGATGAGAAAATATTCGTTGTCCAGCAGTTTGTAAACAAACAACATGATCGTGATTACTTGCCAAAGAGGTCAGCTGAAAATGCCGAATGGAGGGTGTATTAAAGCCTTGGGCACTAAAAACATTTTAACCGCAGACCTTCGGCAATCCCACAGGTCTCAGCACCATCGCACTCAGCACGCGACACACAAGAATGGATACACAATGAGGTTCCTCGCTTCATTTCCAGCGCACAATGGCCAACAAAATCTCCGGAGACCAATCCGCTGGACTATTGTGTCTGGAGTATTTTGGAAGGCAAGGTTGGCACTAAAAAATACCAAAGCGTCGGTCACCTCAAGTAAGCGCTTCGCCGGGAATGGGCCAAAATACCGCAGAGCAACATTTGAGCAGCGTGTGACGGTTTCTTTGACCGTTTGTAGGCCATAATTCGTGTCGAAGGTGAGCAATTCGAACAAATCTAAACGTATTCTAAACTTTGATGTTATTTCCGACATTTTTGCTTTCATTCAATAAAATTATAAAAAAATGTAAAAATTATGGCGTTTGACTTTGTTGTAACTTTTTTTATCTCACATAAAGTATATATATTCATGATCAGCATTAGCTTCAAACTCGATTAAGGGCTGTTCTTCGTCTGTTGATATGAAGATAGAGCCCATATTAGTCGGCACAATAGTTTGTATTATGTCTGAAATTGTTGGTATTGAAAATAATATATATCGGTCCACGTATAGCCCCCGTATTTCTGGACCTCCGGATATTCAGTATTTTAGCCAGATTTTTTAAAGAATTTGTCTAAAAATTGGTAATTGTAGTTCAAAGAGCCTTCATATGACGGCATCCACTGATATTTGGTATTTTGATGATCCTAGCCAAATTTTTTCAGGGAACTGTTTCAAATTCGGTATTAAAGACTCGCAATAGACAACAATCCTTATAATAGAAATATTCTTTATTTTTAAACAAATAGTGGAGGGTATTTTGTTTTTACTTGTTTTATAAAAAATTGTGATTTGTTGAAGTGGAAGTCGGATGAACATGGCTAGATCTACTTCAAATGACCTGATAATACCGTTATTTCAATGAGACAAATAATAGCCGTATTAAAAGATTTATGGTATGCAAATAATATACTGCCGACGTAGATCTGTAGCACCTCTTGTAAGTATTTTGATCTCTATTTTAACGAGCACAAGAGTCGGACGTATTTTTTAATTTTTTACCTGTGTTCTAATAATTGTTTACCAGGTTACCAAGACTTGCAACATTTTCCTTTCTAAAATATCATAATTATTATAGAAAATTGATTTATCTTGACCGAATTAAATATAATTTAAATTAGATAATTTATCCGACCAAAACAATCACACAATATGGTTTAACCGCGATTTTCTTATCGAAGGATTTGTATGTCTGTGTGTAGGTTGATAATTGTGTCATGAACTTTTGTTCTGTGATAGGAAATGCAAAATGCAAGTGTTTCGAATGGATAGAGATTGAACGAATACCTATGGTTGAATTGATTGGAATATTCTTTCTCGATTCTTCGCTATTTCCGGGTACAAGCTTACTTTTGTTCTCCGCCGACACCTCGATCCCAAAGACAATGGCCAGTACGATCAAGGTTATCATTGCGCAGGCACCGGCGATCAAATACTTTTTTCGCTTCAATATGCTCACACACCGCCCATCCGAATCCGCTGGCGCTGATGGTTCGTTAATATCTTTGGCTGTAAAATACAAAAATACAAGAGAAATTTATTAGAACAAATGCGAATGATGTTTGTTGTATTTAAACATTTCAAAGTGTGTGTGTGTGTAGGAAAGTACATATGTACCCATGTATGTACCTGCGTGGTATTAATGTGTGTATGTACATGGAGAGAGGTGTTAATGAAATGATCCAGACATTAGACCAATTACGAAAATAAATACAAACAAAATATTCATTATTCACCAATAATAGAAGTGATGCTTCGCTTTTTTAGTAATTATAAACAAAGAATATTTAATTTAATGTTCACAAAATTTTCCACGAATTTTCCACGGCATTTCATCACAAATATAACAAACACTGAAGTCCAATTAAGTTTGCCTAGGTTGGAAAACCGTAATGAGGTTATATAAAAGACCCTGAAACAGCAAATCCCAGCTAAAATACTCATTACAAATCGGCCCTTTTTTGGAACCAGCGAACGAAAACAAACGAAACAAATAACGTACCGCTCACACGAAGTCAAAAATTTTAATTTTTTTCAATCGTTTTGTACTCTATACAAAACAAAACAGCAAACTTTTTAATGTCAGAAGTACACAAATAATACGATCGCCTTAATGTACTTCGGCTGTGAGTTGCCGAACTATATCGATTGCGAACAAATCGCTGGGAAACGTTTGCAAACGTTTGTGTGCGAAATGATGGCTGTTATATTTAGAGTTGTAATTCTAAATTTTGTTTTTTTTTTTTTTTGCAATTTTTTACAATGAATGAATAATAAATGGACAAAAAGCAAGAATTTGACTTAGTTTTTTCTTTATTTGCAATGAGTTCAAATACAGGGAAACGTTTGCAAACATTTGCAATGAATTTTGCACTGTTTCGTTTCCAATGCTGCGTCATCCAGCAGAGTACATTTGAGTTTTGTTTTTGTTTCCACTCATCTACGCAAACAGTACAAATCAACAAGTAAAAAAACTGTAAGTTCGGCCGGGCCGAACTTTTAATACCCTCCACCATTTGGTACAAATTTGGCAATTTTCAAAAAAAAAATCTGTTAAAATCTTAAAAATGCCGAATGGCTATACGACGACGTGGACCTGCATAGTCAACTTTTGTCATAAGTTATTACAATATTTAAATGCGAAACTTGAAGAAAAATCTGTTTAAAATATAGCTAAAATCATCAAAATACTGAATATAGGGGGTACCGTTATATGGGGGCCATACGATGACGTGGACCTGCACAGACAATTTTCTGGGATGGGCTGAAGTATCCATTACGAACTTCACATGCGAAATTTAAAACAATCCCGGTAAATAATGCCGCTAAAATTATCAAAATACCGAATATCGGGGGGTACGGTATATGGTGGCTATACGAAGGCGGGGACCTACATGGCCCATTTTCTTTTTTATGCTGCAGTATGTATTACGAACTTCAAACACCAAATTTGGAACGATTCCTTTAAATAATGTCGCTAAAATCATCAAAATACCGAATAACGGGAGGTACCGTTATATGGGGGCTACATGAAAACGTGGACTTATACATATAATGTTACCCCACTGGAGCTAGAATCCATTACGACTTACAGAGGTCAATTTTTAGACAAATCCGTGGAAAAATGTGGCAAAAATAATCAAAATACCGAATATCGGGAGGTACCGTTATATGGGGGCTATACCAAAACGTGGACCGATATATCCCATTTCCAATACCAACCATCCTAGGGACAATACACACACTTGTGCCAAATTTCAAAGGTCTACGTCAAATAATGTGGGCTCTATCGTGATTTCAACAGACAGACAGACGGACAGACAGACAGACAGACAGACAGACAGACGGACAGACAGACGGACATCGCTAAATCGTCTTAGAATTTTATGCTGATTATGAATATATATACTTTATGGGGTCTACGACGAATATTTAGAGGTGTTACAAACGGAATGACAAAGTTAATATACCCTCCTACCCATGGTGGAGGGTATAAAAACAAGTTCCGTTATTTTAATATCGGTTTTTTTTCGTTTCGTACTTCGAGAAAATACAGAACAAAACGATTGCAAACGTTTAATATAGTTTATTTTCGTACACTGATTCGAACAAGGGCTTATCACTCGAAATATGAAGTTCTGCCTTTTGGCGCAGCTTTAAAGCTCAGCTAACGGCTTTTTATAGTCAAGAAAGCCCAACTTGTTTCAAACGACATGTCCTCATTAAAATAATGAGTTGGTGGTACGCTTCGTAGTTAGTATTCTTGCTGGGATGAGCATGGACAGCAGGGTTATAGGCAAAAAACAGTAAAGAAAGGTCAATATTCGGCCGGAGCCAATTGTATGATACGCTACACACTTCGTTTGTATTATGAATTTATGTGAAGTGGATTGTATCAACTCAGAATCTTTTTTGAATGCGTATTCTGACTTTAGAGCAGTTATAACTTGGAATAAGAGGGAACTAATATATGGGAGGTATATCCAACTCTGAATCGATTTCCACCAAATTTGACTGAACCGTTTTTTTACAGAATTTAACCCTCGTTTTTTCAGGCAAAAAATGGTAGTATGCGGCAAAATCCATCCAACTTGTAATGGAATTTATATTGCGGCTGTGAGGGACAAAAATAAAAAAATTGGATGAACATTATATTTGGGAGCAATTGCTTTATCTGAACCGATTTTCACCAAATTTGACATACTTGCTTAAATTTGGTCGCATGTATCAAATTCCATCCTATTTGGACTAATATGACACATCGAATATATATACAGGAACTATATCTGATTTTTTAATTGTGGAAAACACATGTCCGGAAGCACGCATTCCGAATTATTTTTACAATCTATTTTTATTTGATAAAAATACTAAAATGTCTCCACCATGTCTCCATATGGAGGGTACATAAAGTTTTTTATTTCGTTTGTAACACCTCACAATATACATTTTAGAACCAACAAAGTATATATATTTGGGTTGGGTCCTAAATGTATATTTTTAGGTGTTACAAATGGAATAAAAAACTTAATATTTGAGCGTCTTAGCAGCAATTTTAACCCCAATTTACTCTAAATTGGCAGTATGAGTTCCCATTGCATTGAACTGTCAACATAGGCCTGGCTGTTGGTATAATCTCCATACAACTGTACCTCCGGATATTCGATACTTCGATTATTTATAACACACTTTTCATGTTGCAAATTTAAAGTTTCAATGGATATGGAACGGAATAACGGAACCTACCTATATTCCTTATTTTGATGATTTTAGCTACATTATTCAATTGTTTCAAATTTTGTATTTGGAATTCCAAATGTTTACTACAGTCTGTGACAGAAAACTACCTTCGTATAGCCCTAATATGACGGTTATTCCCTATTCGGTATTTTGATGATTTTACCGAAACTATTCATCGGAACTGTTTCCAAATTGGTATTTGACGTTTCTAATGGGTATTAATACTTTTTCTACGAAGTAAAGTATACATTGTGAAGTCGAAATAGCAAATTTTAAATAATTGTGGTGTAAAATGAAGCGATATACAGAAAATACCTAATATCGTTAGGAGTTTTTTTTTAAATCAATGGAATCGGCAGAACCTTTAAATGGGGCTATATCAAACGTGGCCCTATATCAAACACTTTTCTACAGACTCCAGGTATTTTCATTAGCAAGTGTCGCCAAAACATTGAAAATTGGGAATTGGGACGTATCCCTACATGCCTCTCCGTTACACCTTGTATTTCTTTGGCAACTGCGTCCTAATTTTGTTGACAAACGCTGCAGAATTTTACGCTCGGCTTTAAATGATTATTTGGCTGAGCTACATACAGAATGACAAACTAAATATATCCTCCATAACATCATAAAGGGAATAAAACGAAAATGTTCCTATAAAACATTTTCTTTGTTGAAATAAAACAAAAGACAAGTGTTTTTCACTGGACGCCGAGAAATCCAAAACATTCACAAATGTCAACAATATATTCAATTTTCTATGATTTATGGGTGGAGTAGACAAACTTACGTTTCTCATGAATATTCGCCAAGTTCTCCAAACGGGTTAGACGATACTGTACTTGGGACAGTACACTATCGTGCCATTCATATTGTTTCAGTACTTGGTTCAGCAGCATTGATGCCGATTGGAGGGTATCACATCTACACACACACTTGTCGCACACCCATTTAATATTTTCGGAAGAAATAATGAGCGCTAATTGATCTTCATTTAAACCGACACAGAGACTGTGAAATTGTTTCGAACATTCTCCGCCGCAAATTATGTAGTGAGCTTGGCCAAGCGGGGTTTTACACTTTTCACAATTCTCCATGTTTTTGATGTTGTTTTTCGAATCGCTTTATTAACACGCATAAAGTTTTACATGGAAAATTTAAATCCGAATAAACGCATCCGGAATGTACAAGTTGGCCGATGCTACTGACTAGACTGGGACTGGCAATAATAGGTTGATAATTGAAGTCATTGCCATTCGGTTCTGGGGTGCTTTTTTGGATAATGATACATATTTATAAAAAAAAAACATTTAATTAATGCGAACGAATCGGAATATAGGGAATAGAAAAAAATCCCCGCGATCACCTCGCCATATGAATTGCAGAGGTAAATAATAAGCGATTAATTCCAGTTTGTTAGTAGTACGAACAAGTGGCTTCTGTCAATTATGGCAGACGTATTGAGACGCACAAGTAAATCAGACTAAAAGTCAAAAAATCACATCTAATGGAATGCTACGACGTATTCAAGGCATCGCATGTCAGCTAACTGTTTGAAGACCACGGAAAAATGTAAAACATCTTTAAATGCACTTTTATCCGATTCTTTTTATATTTTTACGACTTAATTGCGCCAAAATATGAAAATACATTCTATATCTTTTATAGAAATTCCGAGAAGCACAAGATAATTCAGAAAAGTACGAATGTGATTCATCTAAGTAATAAACCCTCAGGCGTATTTATTTCTTCAAATAAAGATTTCTGGG